GCTTTTTTTTTTATATCAGGGTCTTTTTGAGATCTTCCTACACCTGTGGAAGAGCAGAGAGGACATTTCTGCCCAACAATTTCACTTATTTATGGCTGAAAAAGCAAATTTATATTGTAGAAACAGCTTGACCACCCCGTGGAAGAGCAGAGAGGAGATTTCTGCCCCTGATTTGTGGGGGGATTTTTGTTCTCTGCTTGTTCTTTCATCGTTCAGGAATTCCTGCAGCCAGCCTGGAACAAAAGTCCTTTATGCCCAGAAGAGATGGGGATTGTTTGGGATTTGTGATTTGCACAAATCTCCTTTTCTGGAATTGCAGTTTGTGCCCAGGCTGGCGTGGGAGGAAGGACAGAGAGCCCCCCACTGTCCTGGCATTGCCTGGGCAGCAAATTAAAATGAGAAATGAATTTTTGGTGGGGAATTTTTAAAGCCCTGAAAGAAGGCCTGGTGGTTCCTGCTACTCTCTGTATCCCTCCAGAGGGAAGAAAACCCCAAAATAAAAATAAAAACCAAAAACAACAACAAAAAACACACCAAAAAAACCCCAAAAACCAAATTAAAAAAAAAAAAGAAAACGAAAAAATCCACCCAAAAAACCCAAAAGAAAAACCCAAAAAAACCAAACCAACCCAACCAACCCAAACCAAAGAAACCTAAACCAACAAAAACCAAAGGAAAACTAAATAAAACACCCCAAAACCAAAACAAACCCAAACCAAGAAAACCTAAACCAACAAAACCCCCCAAAGAAGCAAAACAAAAAAACTCAAAAAACCAAACCAAATAAAAAAAACCAAACCCAAAACAAGCGAACAAACAAAAACACCAAAAAACCAAACCAACCCATTGAACCCAAACAAAAAAACTTAAACCAAAAAAAACCAAATAAAAATCCCCAAAAAACCAAACAAAAAAAGAAACAAAAAAACACCCAAAACCCTCCAAAAAACAAAAAACCAAACAAAAAAACCAAACAAAAAAAACCCAAAAAACCAAACCAAAAAACCAACCAACCCAAACAAAAAAACCTAAACCAACAAAAACCCCCTCAAAAAACCAAAAAACCCCCCAAAAACCAAACTAAGCTAAACCCAAACCAAAAAAACCTAAACCAACAAAAACCCTCCAAAAAAACCAAACAAAAAACCCCAAGAAACCAAACCAAATAAAAAAAAAAATAAAAAAGGAAAAAAAAACCAACCAAAAACCCCCCAAAAAACGAACCGAACAAAAAAGGAAATACCCCAAAAAAACCCAAACCAAAACAAAAAATAGACAGTAATACAATAAATTAAAAACCACCCCAAATTTTTGTTTTTAGGGTTTTTTTCTCCCTTCCAGACGCACAAATGCAGGAGATCAGAGCTCCTGACGTGGGTGGAAATCCCTCAGGAAGCCCCGGCCTGAGGAGATTCTCCTAAATTTGGCTTTTCCACAGCTCCGGGCTCTCCTGACAGGATGCAGCCAGGACAAAGAGCCCAGAAATAAAGGAAATTATCCAAAGAATAGGCTGGGCTAAAAATGGAGCAGTGTCTGCTGAGCTCCTCGGGCTGCTCAGAACTGAGTCCAATTTTTGGAGTTCTTTGGGTTCCTGGCGAGGAAAGGGAAAAAAGCTGAGGAAAAAAGCACTCAAGTCCTGATCCTGAAGGAAATGGAGCAGGAATTTCAAATTTTTGAGGATTTTTTTTTTTGCTGGGGGTTCTCGGGGAGGAACGTGAAAGGTTGGATTTGGATTGAAGGAAGGATGAGCTGCATGGAAAAGTTGGTTCAGGCAGATCTGAATCAGCCTCGCATCCCTGTGAAGATTTCAACAGAATCCTGCAGCCTTTGGAAAGAGGGGAGGAAACTCAGAGAGGTGCAGTTTATTAAAATTTAATATAAATTATAAATTTATATTAGAATTATAACATATAACATATAATATATAACATATAACATATAATATATAATATATAATATATAATATATAATATATAATATATAATATATAATACATAATATATAATATATAAAATATAAAATATAAAATATTATATATTATATATTATGTATTATATATTATATATTATATATTATATATTATATATTATATAATATATATTATATAATTATTAATTTAAAATAGAATTTTATAGAATTTAAATGGTAAATAATATGCATTTTAATATATTATAGTTAAATATTTAAGTATGAATTTAATATATTAATATTAAAATTAAATATAATAAAATCAATACATATGTATTTATAATGTACATTTATTTATATATATTTATAATATATTAAGATGTCTATTTAATATATGTTATAATATATTTAAATATATTAAAATACATTTTTAATATAAATGTTAATTAGGAGATATTTCATTATATATATTATTCATTATATATTTCTAATGTATTATAACATAATCTTTTATAAATACATAATCAATAATATATATTTATATTTATCATTATATACTATTATATATAATAGTATAGTTATATATTAATATATTATAATATTAATAATATATAATATATGCAATATATTGTATGTAATATGTAATAGCTATCAATATATAATATATAATATATAATATATAATATATAATATATAATATATATACTATATATATTATATATAGTTTATATATTTTATATATTTTGTATACAATATATATAATATATATAATATTTATGCTATATTATATAATGCTATAATATTAGTAATATACATTATAACATGATATATAATATTTTAATATATTATTTATAATATTTAAAATATTATTGAATCAGAGTTCTATAACGGTAATATAAATTTTACTGTAATTTTTAATACAGAATTTTTTAATACAGAAATTTCAAAATATATATTCTATAAATCTATGAAATCACTCCCAATCTCTTCACAAAAACAAGGAGGAGTAATTCCCAGCCCTGCTTATCCTCTGAGAAACATAAAACTGGTGTTTGGGAGATGTAAACATTTCTATTTTTGTAGTTTGTCTTCCAAGTCAAACAAAAATAAGAGATGACTCCAGGCTGAGCCCTGCATGACCCGGTGGTAACTGAGAAGTGACAAAGCCAGGCCTGACCCAGGCTGGCATTTCTGGGGTCAGCGAGATGAACGTGGAGCCCTTGGCCTGCAGATGAACAGAAATTAATTAGCAGAAATTAATTAATCAGCAGAAATCACCTTCAAAGTGGGCGAGCTTGTCAGAAATGCTGCTCACTTCCAAAAAAAATTGAGAAAAGTTTATTAAAACCTTATCAAAAATGCAACAGAAAAATGAATGGAGGAAATATTACAGCACCAGAGCAGAGGATTTTTCCCACCAGGATTTTTTGCCTTTTAACCCTTTAAATTCTGCCCCAAAATTCTGCCCATGAGCTCCTTCTTCTCTGTCCATGGTGGAGTTTAAACCCTTAAATCTTGATTTTTGATCAGGTGCTGCCACAGTGACAATCCCACCCTCCCAAATGTCCCCAACCAAAACCCTGATAACAACACAAAGGAGGTAAAACATTACTAAAAATCTATAGATATAACTAAAAATCTATAAACCATAAGTATAAATCTATAAAACATAACTATAAATATATAAAACGTATCTATAAATCTATAAAAATATCTATAAATTTATAACACATAAGTATAAATGTATAACACAACTATAAATCTGTAACACGTAAGTATGAATCTATAACACTACTTTAAATCTATAACACATAACTATAAACTTATAAAATGTACCTAAACATCTATAAAATATAACTATAAATCTATAAAATATAACTTAAAGTCTATAAAACTTCTCCTAACATCTGTACATGATATTTGACTTTTAATCGTGAGGGGGATCTGAATCAGCCTCTCCTCCCTTTAAAGCCTTCAACAAATCCTTTGGAAAGAGGAGAGGTAACTCAGAAAGGTGCAGTTTATAAAAAATTAATAGGAATTCTTTAATAAATTTTAATAAAATTATTTAATATTTAACAATATTTATAAAATTAATAAAAATTATTATTAATTATAATTTTAATTATAAAATTGGGAAGTGAGGAGTGGAAGGGAATCATCTCCATTTATCCTGCAAGCGGCGCTGGATGGGTCTGGAGATGGGGCAGGAGAAGGATGGGATGAGATTTGGTGGAATATTATGAGATTTGGTGGGATATTATGGGATATAATGGGAGCAGGTGGGTGTCTGGGTTAGGTTTTAGGAATCTGAGGGATCTGAATCAGCCTCTCCTCCCTCTGAAGATTTCAACAAATCCTTTGGAAAGAGGGGAGGCAACTCGGAGAGCCGCAGTTTATAAAAATTTAATATGAGTTATTTAATCAATACAATTTAATAAAAATAATATTAATTTTAAATAAAAAATTATAAAAATTAATATTGATTATAATTTTAATTATAAAATTGGGAAGTGAGGCATGGAAGGGAATCATCTCCATTTATTCAGCAAGGGGCGCTGGATGGGTCCGGAGATGGGGCAGGAGAAAGATGGGATGCGATTTTTGTGGGGTATGATGGGATCTGGTGGGATTTCGTGGATTTGGTGGGATATGAGGGGATATTATGGGATATAATGGGAGCAGGTGGGTGTCTGGGTTTGGGATGCAGGAATTCAGGGATCTCAATCAGCCTCTCCTTCCTCTGAAGCTTCCAGCAAACGTGTTTGTGCATTAATTTTCTTGTGCTTGTGCATTAATTTTCTGGTGTTTGAGCATTAATTTCCTGGTGTTTGTGCATTAATTTCCGGGTGTTTATGCATTAATTTCCCTATCGGGGGGACCCGGGTGACACAGCCCCGCGTGTCCCAGCCCCAGGATTGTCCCCGTGGACAGCCCCGAGCTGAGCAAAGCTCCCAATGCTCCTCCCAGCAGATTATTGGCCAATATTCCCGGGGCAGGGCAGGGCAGCTCCTGCCTTCCCCACTCCTCCTTCCCTTTATAAGCGCCTTCTCCCTTCTTCCAGCTCATTCCACACCGGCAGGACTTTGGATTTCTCGCAGTTTTCTTTCCCCTTTTTTTTTTTTTTTTCTTTTATTTTTCTCTCTAGTTCCTGGCCTGCTGCCAGTGCCTCTCACGGCCAAAGTTTTATCTACAGGGATAGATATATATATATATATATATATATATATATATATATTTTTTTTTTTTTTTTTCAAGCCAAGCCCAGCTGCGCACGGACTAAACCCCGCTCCTGGGGCGAGCTTAACTCTGCAGAAGAGGAGGAGGAGGAGGGCGAGCAGCAGGAGCTGCCTGTGCTCCAGCTCTCGCTGTCAGGATGGATTTATGGCTTTAAAAGGAGTGGGGGGGAGGAAGGAAAGAAAATTCCCTGCCGGAGCCAGAGGTCGCAGCGCAGCCAAAGCCAGCCCGGAGCCGCAGGATGGCTCTGGGGGCCGCAGGACGCGGACTATGACCGAGCTCGGGCTCTGCTGGGCCCCCTCAGGTGGATTCAAGGCGCTTTGGGCAGCACCAGGCTCGGCTATGTTGGCCAAGGTGGTGTTTTCACTTCTGCTGTGGCTGAATTTTGCTGCGGGACAGGACGCACCTGAGCCAGGTGAGTGCCTGAAAGGTGAAACGTTCCTGTGCTGCTTTATCCCGTTCCCTGCCTCCTGCTTGCCTCAAAAACCCTTTTCAGAATAAAAATTGAGCCTACAGTGCTGCTCTCCCTTTTTCTGCCACTGCATTTTGCTGTGGGACAGGACACACCCGAGCCAGGTGAGTGCCTGGAAAGTGAAGGGTTCCTGCTCTGCTTTTCCCTGTTCTTTGCCTCCTGCTCTCCTCAAAAACCCTTTCAGAATAAAAACTGAGCTTGCAGTGCTGCTCTCCCTTTTTTTTTGTGGCTGCATTTTGCTGTGGGACAGGACGCACCTGAGCCAGGTGAGTGCCTGGAAATCTGAAGCATTCCTGCATTGCTTTACCCCATTCCCTACCTCCTGCTCGCCTCAAAAACCCTTTTCAGAATAAAAACTGAGCTTGCAGTGCTGCTTTCCCTTTTTTTGTGGCTGAATTTTGCCGTGGGACAGGACGCACCTGAGCCAGGTGAGTGCCTGAAAGGTGAAATGTTCCTGCTCTGCTTTACCCCATTCCCTGCCTTCTGCTCCCCTCAAAAACCCTTTTAGAATAAAAGCTGAGCCTACGGTGTTTAGAAGTAGTTGTGCTCAAGAAACCTGTCTGCAATTGCAGAAAGAAATTACTTGGAAAGTAATTTTGTGTGTTAGTTGCCGGTGGGAAAGAGGAAATTGTTCAGAAATTCACAGAGTTAAAGGAACCCCATGGAAAAGTGCTCGCTGCTCACTGAGGGCTCTGAGGGAAGCCAGCGGTGATTAACGCTCTGTTCTCTCCTGATCGCTGTAATTCAATCGCTTCGGCTCTAAAACTTCAGCTTTTCTTTCTCCCGGGAGTTGCAGATGGGAAACGATAACGGGGCAGCCCTGCAGAGCTGGAACTGGGAGAGCGATGGATGGATGGATCCATGGGTCCATGGATGGATGGATGGATGGACGGATGGTGTCCCATTCCTGGGCAGGACTCACCCCTCAGTGGTGGCTGAGCTGCTGCAGTTCAGTCTGTCCTGGTTTGGAGAAGGTTCTGGGGCTGCAGGGATGGTTCTGGTTGGTTCTGTCGCTCCAGGGATGGTTCTGTTTGATTTTCAGGGCACCTGGGAACTGCAAACACTGGGAAACCAGAGGGAACCTCGTGTCTGCCCCTCCGTGTCCCACTGGGGTCTGTCCTTGTGTCCCAGGCTGGATTTTATCCCTCAATGTTCCAGCTGGGTTCAGATCCCTCACAGGGTGCTGGCGTTTGTCCCTCAGTGTCCCAGGATGGATTTTGTCCCTCCATGTCCCACTGGGGTCTGTCCCTCAGTGTCCCAGGATGGATTTTGTCCCTCCATGTCCCACTGGGGTCTGTCCCTCAGTGTCCCAGGATGGATTTTGTCCCTCCATGTCCCACTGCCCCTCACAGGGTGCTGGATTTTGTCCCTCCATGTCCCATTGGGGCAGTTACAGTGCTGCAGTTCCTGGCATTGTCCCAGCTGTACAAGTCCACCCTGGGAGCAGCAATTGCCATTGTCCTGCCCTCCTGCCACCCCGGGAGCAGCAATTGCCATTGTCCTGCCCTCCTGCCACCCTGGCAGCAGCAATTGCCATTGTCCTGCCCTCCTGCCACCCTGGCAGCAGCAATTGCCATTGTCCTGCCCTCCTGCCACCCTGGCAGCCCCTGGCACATTCCCATTGTCCTGCTCTCCTGGTGGCAGCCCGTGGCATTTTCCCAACCCGTGGCATTTTCCCAACCCGTGGCATTTTCCCAACCCGGGCTCTGAACAATGCTCAGGCCTTCAGGGGCTGTGCCAGAGCCAGCCTTGGCATTCCACAAGGGCTGTGCCCTGCTCCAGAGGCTGGGTGTGGGCTTGGGATCAGCTGGGTTAGGGTTGGTCAGTGTTTGGGGCTGAGCTGGGTTTGGAATGATCAGGGTTAGGGGCTGAGCTGGGTTAGGGTTAAACTGGGTTTGGGGATTGAGCTGGGTTAGGGATGAGCTGAGCTGGGTTTGGTGATTGAGATGCGCTTGGAATGAGCTGGGTTTGGGCTGAGCTGAGCTGGTTTTGGAATGATCAGGGTTTGGAATGGGCTGAGCTGGGTTTGGGTTGATCAGCGTTTGGGTTAAACTGGGTTTGGATGAGCTGGGTTCAGGAGGATCAGTGTTTGGGTTGAGCTGGGTTTGGCCTCTCCCCCTGTGGGCAGGGGATGCCCATCCCAGCCTGGCACAGCTCCTGGGGCCCTGTCCAGAGGGGCTGTGGTGGCACAGGGACAGGAACACTTCACTCACGGAGAAGAAGGTGAAGAAGTACAACCTGCCTCCACCCTAAAACCTCATCTTGCTTCGTATTTATTTCTATATTCTAAAACCCCAAACTCCAAGTTTTCCACCCTGTGATTTTACATGCTTCTAACCAACTCCACACCCACCATCCCAGTTCTATAATTCCATTTTGGAACACTGCACTGACCTGGGGATGCGGAGAAAGGTTCTCTTTGGGTCTGCACCTTTAAAAGCACAGGAAATTTAAATTCCTCAGCACGCAGGTTTCCAGCCCAAGCAGTGAGAGAAGACAAGAGTGGGATGTCAGGCAGAGTTACCCCAGACAGGAGCTGATCCCTGCTGGCTGTGAGGGAGCCCCAGAGCCCGGGGCTGTGTGAATCAGCCCGTGCTCAGCTCCAGCCCGGATGTCTCCTGTCAGCATCAGGGGAAGCCTGGCCAGCTGCTTTCCTCCTCCTCCTCCTCTGGAAAAGCCAGCAGCCAGCGTTGTGTTTCCATGGGGACATTTTCCTTCCCAAATCCAGCCCTTCCAAACACTTCAGAGCCCGGGGCATCGCCCCAGCCTCGCGCAGGGGGTGACAGCAGGACCCTGCAGTGTCCCTGTCCCTGCCCAGGCCCCAGCACAGCTCAGGGGCCACATCTCAGTTATCCCTGATACTGAAAATGCTCACGGGTGCTCCAGATCCCCCCTGAAAAATGAGAAATCCTCCTCTGGCACCTGGCCACGCCGTCTGCAGTGCCTGGGAGCAGCAGCTGCTTGCGTGAGCAGGGATTTGGTGCTTCCAAACCTCCACCTCTGGCACGGATGGCATGTTTGTGCTGGATGCAGGACAAGGAGCGGGAGGAAGGATGAGGGAATGGAGAGCCTGGACCTGCAGGGAGGCTGATTGCAGTGTCTGCTTGCTTTGTGAGCCCTGCCACGCTCCTGATGGGGGCAGAGCCTTTGTCTCAATATTTTTTTTTTTTTAATGGATTCTTTCTGCTGAACAGGAGGAATTTGTTTCCATCTCCTGCAGGAGTGAGTGCCACAGATGGGATGGGGTTGGTAGGGGCAGAGCTTTTATCTAGATTTTATTTTATTTTTTAATGGATTCTTTCTGCTGAACAGGAGGAATTTGTTTCCATCTCGTGCAAGAGTCAGTGTCACACACGGGATGGGATTGGAATGAAGGAGAAAATTCTGCTTGGCTCACAGAGGGTCCCTTCAGCTCCAAAACACCCCCTGCCCTCCAGCTGCTGCTTTGGTTAACCAAGGCAGAGCCCTGCGGGGTCAGGATGGGGCTCTCCCTAATTAACAGCAATAAGTAATTAACAGCAATGAGTAATGTGGAAAACCAGCATTTATGGGATGGGAATGTGGTGCCCCAGAGCTGCAGGGTACAGACAAAAGGACACGGCTGTGACTCCCCAAGCCTTTGTTCTTTTGGGGTTTCACAAAAAGGACACAGCTGTGACTCCCCAAACCTTTGCTCTTTTGGGGTTTTACCCCAAAGGATTTGGCTGTGACTCCTCTTTGTCCTTTTGGGGTTTCGCACAAAAGGACACAGCTCTGACTCCTCAAACCTTTGTTCTTTTGGCGTTTCACATAAAAGGACACAGCTGTGATTCCCTAAACCTTTGTTTTTTGGGGTTTCACCCCAAAGGACACAGCTGTGACTCCTCTTTGTTCTTTTGAGGTTTCACCCAAAAGGACACAGCTGTGACCCCCCCAAACCTTTATTCTTTTGGGATTTCACCCCAAAGGACTCAGTTGTGCCTCTCCAAACCTTGGGTTTTTGGGATTTCACCCCAAAGGACGCGGCTGTGCCTCCCCAAACCTTTGGTTTTTGGCGGTTTCACCCCAAAGGACACAGCTGTGCCTCCCCAGCCTGTGCAGGTTTTGGGCTCTCTGCCCCCCACTGATGCAGCTCCCTCTCTCTGCCCTGCAGCTCCCCAGCCCTCCGCCTCCAACGCCGAGGGCGACCTCCTGTTCCTGCTGGACAGCTCTGCCAGCGTCTCCCGCTACGAGTTCTCCAAGGTCAAGGAGTTCATGTGGGACCTCCTGCAGCCGTTCGCCTTCGGCCCCAGGGACGTGCAGACCAGCATCATCCACATCAGCACCACCCCCAGCATGGAGTTCCCCTTTGACCGGCACCTGAGCGGGGCCAGCCTGCGGAGCGCCATCGCGGGCATGCGGCAGCGCGTGGGCGACACCAACACGGGCAAGGCGCTGGCCCTGGCCAAGGAGAAGCTCTTCAGCAGCCAGGCCGGGGCCAGGCCCGACGTGCCCAAGGTGCTGGTGTGGGTGACGGACGGCTTCTCCACGGACGACATCTCGGAGCCCATGCAGCTGCTGAAGGACATGGGGGTCACCGTGTTCATCGTCAGCACCGGCCGCGGGAACTTCCTGCAGCTGTCGGCGGCCGCCAGCGCGCCCTCGGACGCGCACCTGCACTTTGTGGACGTGGATGACCTGCCCATCATCACCCCGGAGCTCAGGGACGCCATCCGAGGTACACGGGCACCAGGGCAGGGGCAGCAGGGCTCAGAGTGGGTACAGATGGTGGATGATGTGACCTGTTGGTGTAGGTGATCCCCAGCTGGGGAATAACGTGCTCTGACCCCACGGTTCAGAGCTATTGCTTCATTAAAACTATATGACATTAATACTGTATTATAACTACACTAAAGAGAATAATGTGCTCTGACCCCATGGTTGAGAACTATTGCTTTATTTAACTACATTATATGGCATTAATACTATATTATGTGGCATTAATACTGTATTATAACTATATTGAAGAGAATAATGTGCTATGACCCCATGGTTCAGTGGGCTGAACAACTGCCATATTATATTAATTATATTATACTGTACTATATTATAGTATACTATACTATATTAATACTATTTTAATACTATATTTTATTAACACTATTAACTTACTATAGTATTAATATAGTATAGTGTATATGTATTACTATATTAATTATATAATATATATTATTATATATAATTTTATAATTATAATAATATATTATATTATAATTATATATATAGTATTACATTAATACTATATTATAACTATACTAAAGGGAATAATGTGCTCTGAATCCATGGTTCAGAACAATTGAAAAATTGCTTTATTATAACTATATTATATGACATTAATACTATATATACATTAACAATATACATTACACTATATATACATATATAGTATATAAATGTGTAATATACATTAGTATATGTATATAATAATATATATGTATATTATATATAGTATACATATACAATAATATATAATATAATATTACAACTACACTAAAGAGAATAATGTGCTCTGACTCCATGATTCAGAAAGCTGAACAATTGCTTTATTAAAACTATACTATATTACATTAGTACCATATTATATTATTTATTATATATTATTAGTATTTTATGTTATAACTATACTACATGATACTAAAGAAAAACCCGGGACTGTCTCCAGACAGTTAGGCACAGCTTTGAGTGATTGGTTAATTAATATAAACAACCATCACCCCAATTCCCAAATCCCTGCCACAGGTCCAAGTACAAACCAAGGCTCCTGGGAGGTCTGGGACAAATATTTGCCCTCGGAATGTTTGTGTGAGTGGGACAGATTCCCCTTGGTGAGGTGAACTCGTGTTTGTGAGTTCAGCTGGGAACGAGGAACTCGAAATATCTGAGTTCCTTAAAACCCCACAAGTCTTTGGGATGAGTCATGCAGGTCAGGCATCTGCACACCCCAGGCAGAGCTCAAAATGCCCCACCTGCACAGGCTGTTAACCACAGGTTGCCCAAACTGGGATGATTTCACCTCAGCAAACTGTGGGCACAAAGTGCCTGAGCCCCCACAAGCTGATTTTCACATTTAAAGTGGTTTTTTATTTTTTTCCTCTTAAAATTTTCTGTCTCTGTGCCAGCTGATGGAGGAACACAAACGTGTTGAGCACATCTAAAACGGGATGTGTGTCCCTGGCAAGGATTTGTTCCTGTCAGCTCCTTCCAGCTCTTGCTTGGGATAGATCTGAATCTCTAAAATTCACCATCAGGGGCTGAGACCTCCAACTCCCGCAGTTGCTCTCTTCAAAAACACAACAGTGCAGGCTGTCAGCATTGAGGCTATAGGAAAGGAATGTTTTTGTTCCATAAATCCCTGTTCTAACGTGTTCCACATCTGCCAGATCCCTGGCCTGACTTGGCCAGCAGAGCCCTTGAAGGAGCAGCCCAGCCCTGCCTCGGCAGGCCAAGGTGGATTCTGTGCCCCTCACAGGGTGGAGAGAGGGAAATGCCACTGGAAATGCCACTGGAAATGCCACTGGAAATGCCACTGGAAATGGCACTGAGCCAGAGTACCTGCAGTGTGAGACCCCAAAAGGGCAAAGGGGAGGCACAGATGTGTCCTTTGGGGTGAAACCCCAAAAAAACCAAAGGTTTGGGGAGTCAGAGCTGTGTCTTTTGGGGTTAAACCCCATAAGAACAAAGGTTTGGGTGGTCACAATAATGTCCTTTTGTGTGAGACCCCAAAGAATGAAGGGCAGTCACAGCTGTGTCCTTTTTTTGTGAAACCCCAAAAGAACAAAGGTTTGGGGAGTCATAGGTATATCCTTTGGGGTGAAACCCCAAAAAACAAAGGTTTGGGGAGTCACAGCTGTATCCTTTTGGATGAAACCTCAAAAGAAAAAGGTCTGGGGAGTCCCAGCCATGTCCTTTTGAATGAAATCCCAAAAGAATCAAGGTTTGGGGAGTCCCAACCATATCTTTTTGTGTGAAACCCCAAAAGAACAAAGAGGAGTCACAGCCGTATTCTTTTTTGTGAAACCCCAAAAACCAAAAGTTTGGGGAGTCCCAGTTGTGTCCTTTTGGGTGAAACCCCAAAAGAACAAAGGAGATCTAAAACCTGCAGAGGTCAGCGCTGCTGTGCCTGAGGGCAGCATCCATTCTGTGAGCCCAGCAAGCCCTAAAACCTCCTGGGCTGGGGTTTTAATGCCAGGTGAGGTTCCCACAGGAACCCAGGGCTTGCAAAGTGCCAGATTTTGGTCACATCACCTGATTTCACTTTAATAAAACCCCTTAAATCCACTGGTGCCTACCTGGAGGAGCTCAGAGCTCCACCACCCTTTCTAGCATGACAGGGACAGGCAGGAATTAATTAATTCCAGCTCTGGAATGGTTTAATTATCACTCCTCTCTTATCTTCATCTCTGCTAATGTTAAAAAAAACCCCCCAAAAAAAAAACCAGTGGAGGCTTTTGGAGAGGCACAAACAAGCTTTGTCAGGAGCTGCTCCCCTCCTTCCATCCCCTCTCCAGGCTGGGCTGTTTCCTGCCTGCTCCTCAGAAATTCCAAACCAGGGCTCCCTGCCAGGCTGCTGCTGCCTCAGGTGGGCTCAGCCTGCACAGGGAGATGTGCTGGGCCTGAAATGGTCCCAGAGCTGCTCAGGACAGGGGCTGGGGGTGCTCACTGCCTGCTTTTCCTCAGCCCATGCAATCGTGATCCTGTTTTTTCACAGCTTTTCCCACAGCTGTGTTTATGGGCCGTGTCAGCTTACGGGGTTTTAGTTTAAAGATTAGTTCAAGAGCAAATGTTTTCTACATCTATTTCTCAAATCACCTCTGAGAACAGAGATCTCCTCTCTGTTCGCAGGGTCTCACCACTCTTTTCTTTTTCTCTGTTCAAGTTTCTCATGGGATCACTTCCTTTAGATCACCCCTCATGGGATTTGCTTCCTTTAGCATGGAGGCCTTTGCTGAAGGCCTTTTTGATTAAACCCCAGAAGAATAAAGGGGAGGCACAGTCATGTCCTTTTGAGAGAGACCCCAAAAGAACAAAGGTTTGGGGAGTCACAGTCGTGTCCTTTTGGGTTAAACCCCAAAAGAATGAAGGGGAGTCATAGCTGTGCCCTTTTGTGTGAGACCCCAAAAGAACAAAGAGGACTCACAGCCATGTCTATGAACCATTGTCCCACACTTTCCAAGGTGTTATAAGGGAAAGAGGAGTCTGGTGTATCAATGACATCCTTCACCATGGCTTTACAAGGTTTTCAGTCCTAGGATCAGGACATCTTTTTATTTTTCTGCAGAAAGCAGCTCCCAGCCAGCCTGGCTGTGGCACAGCTGGCTCCTGGCAGGCACCTGCACCCTGCCAGAGGGAGGGGAAGGTTCTCAGGCTGTGCAGGAGCTCAGGTTCCCTCTGTTGTGCCCAAAATGTGGCATTTGGTGCTGGGGAAGGACCTTCTTGGTTGTGAAACCGAGGCATTCCTGTGAGCTGACATCAGCCCTGAGCCTGCAGCCACTTGCTCTGTGCCCAGCCCAGTTAGGCTGGGGCTGCTGCCTCCTGCCAGCCTTTGGCACCACTCCTGAGCCAGGCTTTGCAGGAGCCTGCAAGCCCTGAGCACCACCACGTCCCACATGTGCTCAGGAAAGAGCATTTCTGACCCAAAATGGGCCCTGGGTGAGTCCTGCTGCAGGGAAGGCTCTGAGCTCTCTGTCCCCACTGCCAGAATCAGAACCTTGCCCCACTCACATCAAAGTGATTTGTCCCAAATCCCAGCTGCAGCTTCTCTGACCCAGACTGGGACAGGTTCTTCCGTCTGGCTGCAGGAGAACCTCTCCTAATTTGGGCTTGAGAAGCTGCAGGAGAACCTGTCCTAAACTAGGTCTGAAAGCTACAGGAGAACCTGTCCTAATCTGGCTCTGAGAAACTGCAGGAGAACCTGTCCCAATTTGGGTCAGAGAAGCTGAAGGAGAACCTGTCCTGATCTGGGTCAGGAAATCTGCAGGACAACCTGTCCTGATCTGGGTCTGAAAGCTACAGAAGAATTTGTCCTAATCTGGGTCAGAGAAATTGCAGAAGAACCTGTCCTAAACTGGGTCTGAGGAGCTGCAGGAGAACCTGTCCTAATCTCACCTGTCCTAATCTAATTTGTCCTAATCTAACCCATCCTGAGGAGCTGCAGCTGGCATTTGGGACAAATCTGTCCTGTTCTGGCTGTTCTTGCTGCTGTTTTTGTTTTTACCCTCATCATGAAGCCAGCAGCATTCCTGCAAGTCTGATTTTGTGAGTTCTGCTGCAGGGAAGGCTCTGAGCTCTGTCCCCACTGCCAGAATCAGAACTGTGCCCCACTCACATCAAACAGAACCAGAATCCCAAATCCCAGCTGCAGCTTCTCAGACCTAGTTTAGGAGGGGTTCTTCTGCAGCCAGGAAAAAAATCCAGGCTAATCTGGGTCTGAGAAATTGCAGGAGAACCTGTCCTAGTCTGGGTCAGAGGAGCTGCAGCTGGGATTTGGGACAAATCTGTCCTGTTCTGGCTGTTCTTGCTGCTGTTTTGTTTTTACCCTCATCATGAAGCCAGCAGCATTCCTGCAAGTCTGATCCTGATCTCTGCAGAGCTCCTGCCTGCAAAACGGTGTTTGGGGTCCCCAAGAGGCAGGAGGTGGAGGGAAAGTGTCACCAGATGAGTGTCACCAGGCAGGCACTGCCTCAGTCCAGTACAGGATATTAATTATTAAATAATAATAATTATAATAATATTGATTGATTGATTTGTTGCTGCTTCCCTCTGGGAGCAGAGGGACTGGGAAACACCCTGTGTGTCAGATTGAGCCCTTTTCTGACCCAGAGATGGGGCAACTGAGAGGTGTTTTAAAAACTTTTATTTTCAGTCTCATGCGAAGGGTGAGACAATACAGATGTTATCATTCATGCCATCACAATCAGAAGTTAATTACTTCTTCATTATAATACATTATAAGTAGTTTTTGGCTTATTTGCTTTAGCTACACTATGTTGTAAATGTTTTAAAGCCAATCATCTAAAATTACCCCTCATGGCTCCTACTACAATGCATCTTTCACAGTTCTGTTTCTCCAAAGTGCCTAATCTTTTCTGTAAGGTCACCTTTTGAAACTTTATTTTCTGGTTCCATTTCTCTCTCCACAATGTCTGTCCTGTTCCACGGCGTTTCTAAATCAGCATTTCTTATCTCCAGGTTTGCACACAGATGCTCACTGTGTGAGCCTTCTGTTTGAGAACTCCCTATAAATCCATTTCTCACAATTGTGGGCATTTATTTCTTTATTTCCTGTGCTTTATTTCTCTCTTTATATGCTGAAACTTCCAGTGCTCTGGCAACAAGGGGCAGAGCTGTTTGCTGTGGGCTTCTCCTTTGATCTGCCCCCTCCATTCACATTTTCCCTGCTCCCAGCTCACTAATTTCCATTCCCTGAGCTTCTGGCAGGGTTTTTGGCAGCACTGAGACCTTTCCTGTGCTCCCTGTCCCTTTGTGGATTGGTCCCTGAGGTTTGTGGGGCTCCCAGAAGGACGCAGGGCCCCAGGATTTGGGATGGGATGGGATCACTGGGATGGGCAGGGCACAGAGCAGGGAAATGTTCCTGCCAGGGAACAGCTCAGAGGAAAATCTGAGCCTGTTTTATTTGGTACAGGGAAGCTGGCAGAGCTCAGAGGAGGAGGGCTGATCCTCTCCCAGCTAAAGGATGAGTCTGGGAGGGCAGAGCAGCCCCAAATTTGCAGCTTTGGGAGAGGATTTTGTGCTTCCCTTCAGCTCTGTGCAATGGGGAGCCAGTGAGAGCTGCCTAGAGTGCTCTGAGCATGAGCTGGAAGTGCTTTTATAAGGATTTAGGGGCTTTTCAAAGCTCTTAAAAATCATTTAAAAACAAAAGAGATCACCATGTCACTTCCCTGGAGCTAGAAACAAAGTCCTGTGTGTTTGTGCCTCTCTGGAAAACCAGAGAACAGTGGAATTGTGCCCAAAATGGACATGTCAGATGGGTCAAGGAGCAGAGGGAGCTGCCCAGCACCACCAGAGGGATTTGAGCCTGGAATTTTTGCTCTGGAGCTCCAAGGCAGCACCAAAAAAGGCTCAAAAAGGAGCAGTCCCCATCCCTGGGTGTGTTTAACAAAGCCTGGATGTGGCACTGGGTGCCATGGTTCAGTTGAGGGGTTGGGTCGATGGTCTTGAAGGTCTCTTCCAACCTGGGATTCTGAGAATTTGGGAGAATTTTGGGCATTTGGAGGAATTTGGGGAATTCCCAGGAACTGGGGAGGTGCTGGAGTCACCATCCCTGGGTGTGGCACTGGGTGCCAGGGTTGAGTTGAGCTGTTGGGGCTGGGTTGGACTTGATCTTAAAAGTCTCTTCCAACCCAGAGATTCTGAGAACTCTGTGGTTCTGAGAATTCTGCGGATTCTGAGAATCCTGTGAATCATGTGAATTCTGTGGTTTTTTGGATTCCGTGGGTTCTGTGGATTCTGTGGTTTTGCGGATTCTGAGAATTCTGTGATTCTGTGGTTTTGTGGATTCTGAGAATTCTGTGATTCTGTGGTTTTGTGGATTCTGTGAATCATGTGGATCCTGAGAATTCTGTGATTCTGTGGTTTTGTGGATTCTGTGAATCATGTGGATCCTGAGAATTCTGTGATTCTGTGGTTTTGTGGATTCTGTGAATCATGTGGATTCTGTGGTTTTGTGGATCCCGTGCCCCGGGGGCAGGGAGAGGTGAGGTGGCACAAGGGGGCTCTCTCTGAGTGCTGAATGTCACCGAACCAGGCAGCTCTGTGAGCCCTCACAACGGGGTGACCTCAGCTGGGCTGGCACTGCCCAGGCCCTGCCCTCTCCCCTGGGCACTGGGATGGGCACAGAGCGGGAGGAATGGAGCTCTCAGTGGTCTGGGCTGTTCTTGTGCAGGGGTTTGCTGGTTTGGGGATTTCCACTGGGAAATTAATTTGTAGAGAATTAATTCTCTACCATGGATTAGAGATCTAGACCAGATATCTCGATCTAGACCAGAACTCTAGGCTAGGAGCTTCAGGGAAATAGAACTGTGAAAATACATTGTAGTACGACTCATAAAAGGTAATTTTAGATAATCAGCTTTAAGACATTGACAGCATTTTATTTTAAATAAAAATATACAAGATATAAATAAATAAAATATAATAAGATATATAAATACATTTAAATGAATGTATAAATATATTTATATAAATATACAAATATATAAATGTAGTGTTATAAAAGCTGATAGGTCAAGAAACACTTATAATGTATTATAATAAAGAAAATGTTGGCTTCTGATTGTGATAACGTAAATTGTAACATCTGTATTGCCTCATCCTTCACATGAAACTAAAAATTAAAAAGAAAATTTAAAAATAAATAAATAAAATATACCATATATAAATATATAAATAAAAATAGAATAAGATATGCAAATGTATTTAAGTAATCATATAAATATATATTTAAATATAAAATATATATAAAATATATCAAAATATATAAATATATATTTAAATATAATATATATAAAATATATCAAAATGTATAAAATTATATAAAATATAATAAGCATATTAAATATATCAATAGAATAAATATTAAAAATATATTAAAGTATGAATATAAAAATATTTAAATATAAAATATACATATATATGAATATATAGAATGGATTAAAATGAATAAAATTATGAAATATAAAATATTAAGATAGAAATATATAAAGTAAATATATCTATACTAAATATGGATAGATTAATATTAAATACCAATATATAAATATAGAATATATAAAATATTAATAGAATAAGATATTATATATTAATATCCAATATATTGATATTAAATATAAATATATGAATATAGAATATATAAATATATAAGTATATAAGTATATTTAATTAAAAATAATAAAATATTTTAAAAGCCTTTTACTCAGTTACTCCATCTCTGAGTCAAAATAAAAACCTTAATCCAGCACCACCCCTTGGTGACTGCATGGGTGCTGCCAGCTGCATCTGTGCCCCAGCAGGGCTGGCACTGCAGCTGCTCCTGCTCTGGGGGTCGATGCCAGCAGTGATCTCTGTCCCCTGTCCCTTTCCAGATGCCATCCGTGCCAGCCGCCTGCACGCCACCGACGTCACCTCCAGCAGCTTCCGCCTGGTGTGGCCGCAGCTGCTGTCCCCGGACAGCGGCTTCTACAGCCTGGAGTATGGCCCGGGGGGGGACCCCGCTGCCAGGAGGGCCCTGCAGGTGCCCGGGGCACAGAGCAGCCTCGTGCTCACCCAGCTGGCACCAGCGACCACCTACGAGGTGGCGCTGACCCCCGAGTCCAACGTGCACTACGTCCCTCCCCAGAGAACCAGGGTCACCACCCTGCCAGGTAAGGGGGCATGGATGGGGGCATCAGGGTCACCACCCTGCCAGGTAAGGGGGCATGGATGGGGGCATCAGGGTCACCACCCTGCCAGGTAAAGGGGCATGGCTGGCATCAGAGTCACCACCCTGCCAGGTAAAATGGCATGGCTGGGACCAGGGGCACCAGTGTCATCACCCTGCCAGGTTAAGGGGCATGGATGGGGGCATCAGGGTCACCACCCTGCCAGGTAAAGGGGCATGGCTGGGATCAGGGTCACCACCCTGCCAGGTATAATGGTATGGCTGGGACCAGGGGCACCAGTGTCACCACCCTGCCAGGTAAAGGGGCATGGATGGGGGCACCAGGGTCACCACCCTGCCAGGTAAATGGGCTTGGGCCAGGGGGCACCACCCTGCCAGGTAAAGGGGCTTGGGCCAGGGGGCACCACCCTGCCAGGTAAGATGGCATGGCTTGGGCCTTGGGCACCACTGTGCCAGGTAAAATGGCATGGCATGCACCTGGGGGCACCAGGGTCACCACTGTGCCAGGTAAATGGGCATGGCTTGGACCAGGGGCACCTGGATCACCTCTCTGCCAGGTGCCAGGGTCACCCACCTGCCAAGTAAAGGGACATGGCTGGGATTTGGGTCACCACCTTGCCAGGTAAAGGAGCATGGCTTGGGCCTTGGGGACAAGGACAGGATCCCACCTGGGGCTGGAGGTGGAGATGGAGGATGCTGGAATGACCTAAGGGAAGTCTGGGTTTGAGAGGGGAAGAACTCGGAGCAGGATCAGCGCCTCTGTGCAGAAAATAACTCAGATTTGTGCTGAGGGCAGCCTGCACAAAGGGGGCAAACTGAAAACTCGGCTGGGGTGGCAGAGTCAAGGTGGACTTGTACAAAATATTCATTTTCTGCATGTGAGAACAGCTCTGGCTGAAAGGCAGAGCAACCCTTTGCTTTGGGCTGAGCTGTGGGATGAGCATCAACATCTGCTTGCTGGGCTGATTTAAATTCCACCCACTGGGTTAATTTTACTTTCTTGCTGGGTTGATTTGAATTCCTTGCTGGGCCGATTTTAATTCCTTGCTGCATTGATTTTAATTCCACTGGGTTGATTTCAATTCCTTGCTGGGTTGATTTCAATTCTACTGGGTTGATTTTGCTTCCTTGCTGGGTTGATTTCAATTCCTTGCTGGGTTGATTTCAATTCCACTGGCTTGATTTTAATTTCAATGGGCTGATTTGAATTATTTGCTGGGTTGATTTTACTTCCTTGCTGGGTTGATTTTACCTCCTTGCTGGGTAGATTTCAATTCCACTGGCTTGATTTTAATTCCACTGGCTTGATTTTACTTCCTTGCTGGGTTGATTTCAATTCCACTGGGTTGATTTCAATTCCACTGGGTTGATTTGAAATTCACTGGGTTGATTTTACTTCCTTGCTGGGTTGATTTCAATTCCTTGCTGGGTTGATTTCAATTCTACTGGCTTGATTTGAAATTCACTGGGTTGATTTTACTTCCTTGCTGGGTTGATCTGAATTCTTTGCTGGCTTCATTTTACTTCCTTGCTGGGTTGATTTCAATTCCACTGGGTTGATTTCAATTCCAATGGGCTGATTTGAATTATTTGCTGGGTTGACTTTACTTCCTTGCTGGGTTGATTTTCATTTCAGTGGGTTGATTTCAGTTCCACTGGGTCGATTTGAATTCCCCACCCCTGAACCTCAATATGATGTAGGTCAATAATTCTCACTAAATCCTCACCCTCACCTCTCTCCGCCTTTTCCAGAGGAAATCAGCCCGGTTCAGGTTCTCATCTCAGACTGTGGGCCCCGCAGCCTGCAGGTGAGCTGGGCTCCTGTTCTGGACTCCGTGGCCTCCTACCAGGTGCTCTACGGGCCCCTGCCGGGGGGCTCAGCCAGGCTGCTGCAGGTGGATGGCGGCCACAACAGCACCGTGCTGGAGCACCTGGCGCCCAACACCACCTACCTGGTGACAGTGACGGCCATCTACAGGTCTGGCACGGAGAAATCCCTGTCAGCCAAGGCCTGCACCCTGCAAGGTGAGCGGGGCAGCACAGAGAGGGGCCCCAGAGGGTCACCTGCCCCAGGGGGGACCCGGAATCCAGCCCCTGGGTGGGGTTTTGTTATTCACAATCTAGTTTTTTATTACTCGTAATCCATTTTTTTATTATTCAGGATCCAGTTTTTTACTATTCAGAAAAAATTATTTTCATTATGCGGAATTCAGTCCCTGGGTGCATTTTTATTATTTGGAATCCATTTTTTTTATTATTCAGAATCCAGCCTCTGGGTGGATTTTTATTATTCAGAATCTAGATTTTTATTATTCAGAATCCAGTTTTTTATTATTCAAAATCGAGTTTTTCATTATTTAGAATCCAATCCCTGGGTGGATTCTCATTATTCAGAATCCAGTTTTTCATTATTCAGAATCCAGTATTTCATTATTCAGAATCCAGTCCCTGAGTGGATTTTTATTACTCAGAATCCAGTTTTTCATTATTCAGAATCCAGTATTTAATTATTCAGAATCCAATCCCTGGGTGGATTTTCATTATTCAGAATCCAGTTTTTCATTACTCAGAACCCAGTTTTTTATTACTCAGAATCTAGTCCCTGGGTGGATTTTTATTATTTGGAATCCAGTTTGTTATTATTCACAATCCAGTTCTTTATTATTCAGAATCCAGTTTTTTATTATTCAGAATTCAGTCCCTGTGTGGATTTTTATTATTCAGAATCCAGTTTTTTATTATTCAAAATCCAGTCCTTTATTATTCAGAATCCAGCCCCTGGGTGGATTTTTATTATTTGGAATCCAGTTTGTTATTATTCACAATCCAGTTCTTTATTATTCAGAACCCAGTTTTTTATTATTCAGAATTCAATTCCTGTGTGGATTTTTATTATTCAGAATCCAGTTGTTTATTATTCAAAATCCAGTTTTTCATTATTCAGAATCTATTTTTATATTATTCAGAATCCAATCCCTGGGTGGATTTTTATTATTCAGAATCCATTTTTTTATTATTCAGAATCCAGTATTTCATTATTCAGAATCCAGTCCCTGGGTGGATTTTTATTATTCAGAATCCATTTTTTTATTATTCAGAATCCAGTTCTTTATTATTCAGAATCCAGTCTCTGGGTGGATTTTTATTATTTGGAATCCAGTTTGTTATTATTCACAATCCAGTTCTTTATTATTCAGAATCCAGTTTTTTATTATTCAGAATTCAATTCCTGTGTGGATTTTTATTATTCAGAATCCAGTTTTTTATTATTCAGAATCCAGTATTTCATTATTCAGAGTCCAGTCCCTGGGTGGATTTTGATTATTCAGAATCCAGGTTTTTTTAACTCAGAATCCAGTTTTTTATTATTCAGAATCCAGTTCTTGGGGTGGGAAAGCTGTTAAGAAGGTAATGAGCAGAAACTTGTGCTCTGTGGAGAATTTTTGTGAAAGGGAACACCACTGAACTTTAAACTAGGCTTTAGGGCTTTTACTCTCTTAAGGGACTTAAAATATATTTCTACTGACTTAAAATATATTTCTGCTTACTTAAAACAAAAACTTGCACTCCTACTGTGTGGCTGAATATATTTCAGTTTTTCTAAAGGTTCCAATTCAAATCCTGCATTCTTTTCTCTCTCTCTCAGGGGTTTCTGTTTCAAGCATTCCAAACCCACAGAGCAGCCTCCAGGGTTGGGATATTCTGTGCTCATCACCGCTCTTGTTTTGCCACAAACTGACCAAAATTGGGTTTTTTCCCCCGTTTTTAGGAGTAAGACTCCTCCTAGTGGAGTTTATTGCAGGCAGGAGGAAAAAGAGTACAGTGGAGACAGATGCATAAAAATACATTCATTTGTTTATTTATTAAATTTATTAATTAGAGATTATTTAATATTATATAAATTATTATTAATTTGATTATTAATTTTCTTTATTTATTATTATTTCAATATTAAGCAAATAAATTTATTCAAATTTATTTATGCATTTAATGCATAAAATACGTTTATTTATTAAATTTATTATTTTAATATTCAATATTATAGTATTCTATACTATATATACTATAGTATATATTCTATACTATATATATAGTATAGAATATATATATTCTATACTATATATACTATATATACTAATTCAATTGTTAATTTTCTTTATTATTTTTATTTAAATATTCAATAAATTTATTTATTTATTCAAATTTATTTATGCATTTAATGCATGAAAATACATTAATTTATTTAGTTTATTATTTAAATATAATTTAATATTATATTAATTGTTATTAATTTAATTATTATTTTAATTTATTAATTAATATCATTTAAATAATAAATAAATTTATTTATTAAAGTTTGTTTATGTATCTAATGCATAAAAATAAGGGGTGAGATCTGTGACTCAGATGTGGAGAATGGGTGACTAAAGCTGACATTTGTATTCCTCGTGTTCTGACATTTTAATTCCTTGTGTTCTGACATTTTAATCCCTTATTTTCTGACATTTTAATTCCTTGTATTGTGACATTTCTGTTCCTTGTGTCCCTCCAGCCACAGAGGCCCAAGGATCCAGGCCCAGAGAGCAGGACAGACTGCAGTGAGCTCCTCCCCAGCACGGCAAAGGTCTGGAATGGACAAAGATTTGGACAAAAAAAGGAGGAGCCAGGGGAGGAAGCAGCTCCTGCCCCGGGCTGTGCTGTCCCTGCAGGTGTCCAGCCCAAACCTGGCCCCAGCCAAGCTCTGCCAGGTCCAAAGGCTTGGCTGGATGCATGGAACAGCCAGTGTGACTAAAAAAGTGACTAAAAGATGCCAAATGTGTCCCCATTTCACAGAAACACCAGTACCAAACAGAAGGCAGAGTGGTGGATCCCCAGTGCTGCTTGCTTGCTCCTGCTCTCTATTTATTCAAGGTTCATGCGGGTTTCTTTTTGCATGAGCTCATTCAGGATTTGGCTGTTCCAATTCCATCCTGGCCAAATCCAGTCCTGAATCCAACCCACTCACTGGAGGGAATGAGAGAGCAGGAAATCCAAAATCCTGGGAATGCGCTTCCCTCACAGAAGGCAGAGTGGTGGATCCTCACTCCTGCTTGCTCCTGCTCTCTATTTATTCAGGGTTCATGCAGATTTCTTTTTGCACGAGCTCATTCAGTATTTGGGTATTCATCTTCCATCCTGGCCAAATCCATTCCTGAATCCAACCCATTCAGGAGAATTCAGAGAGCAGGAACCCCAAAATCCTGGCAATGTGCTTCCCTCCAGAGCCCAGAAAAGCCAGACAAAACCATCTAAAACATTTATTTTTGTTTCTGTGCTCCTGCCTGGATCATTGCTCTGGCATTCCTTTTCACCAAATGGGAGTGCTGCTGCCCTCGTGGAGATTAATTAGCCTGTTCTGTGATTAATTACAGGCAATAATTCTCCAGCACTATCATTCCTCTGCACTCTGAAGACACACAGCACATCTCTGGTGTCTTGTCTTGGGCTTCCACCCAGTGCTAAGCTTGAGCTACACTTAAAAATCAATATTTTTAAGGTAAAAAAGTATAAATCTGATTATTTCCCCTAAGTTTGAACTCACTGTCTCTAAGCCACTCTGAAAAGGGGAGCTGGGGGAAAAAAAGAAAGATAAATTAATTATAAATACCTAGTGAGCAAGCAAATGGTTTCAAAGTTCAGAGCTTAGGGCTGTAAAGAAATGTAGATATTTCTCTGCTAACCCCCAGCATCAGTGGGAACACCCTCCCTCAGTAACTCTTGCTCTATTTTAAATTTATTGCTTATTTTCTCTCCATGTGGAACTTGGTTTTGAAGCAGTGCTGTTTATGGAGAACCCCATTCAGCCTCAAAAACCCTTCTTAAATCAGCTTAAATCAGCTCCTTTTGGAGCTGAGAGGAACTTTTATCCCTAACTTTGTCTCCTGAGAGCTGAATTTTTCATCTCCACCTTTCTGGAGCATTTTTCCTTGGGCTGCCTTGTTCAGGAGACAAGGGAGGTGAGTCATTCATTAACTCTATAAAGGGATTTTCATGTGGTTTTTGTCCTCCTCTGGAATGTGCATTTGTGACTGATTAATCTCAGCGCTGAAAGGATCACAAAGCCCCTGGAACTGCTCATGCAATAAAATGATTTTGTTTCTTCTCGCTGTAGGACAGAAAATAAGTTTGCACAACTTCCTGCATAGTTTATTAATGCATTAATTTTCATCCCCCCTCAGCTGTAACACAGCCTTTTGAAGACAAATAAATATAAATATGAGAGCTACTGAATGGTTCCTTTGTGCTTGCTGGGAAATCTGTGGGGTTTTATGGGGGGGAATTGTGGGTTTTGTTCCAGGGGTTGAAAAGCTGGAATTTATAGAATCATAAAAGTTGGGAAAAGCTTCTGAGATCACCCTTAAATCATAATTTTAAATGAAGTGTGTGTTCCACCCATGCCTGAATAACCAGATTTACCCCAAATTTTATTCCCATCCCTCAAAAAATGTGTGGGAAATGTAAAAAACAGAAATATATTGGTCTTGATGAAACGTCAGTTCCAAAATGATGATTTCCAGGGAAATCCTGCTCTTTATCCCACATAACCACAGCGAGAGGTTTCTCGGTGCTCCCCTTTTCTGCTTTCCCATCCTCTCTGCCATTCCAAGGAGAGGATTTTGAGGAAAATCCAGGAAAACCCCAAGGGAAATTCGGGGTAACGCCAAACTGGGTTGATTTCGGAGGAAATCTGGGATTAACCCAAGGGAAATTCGGGATAACGCCAGGCTGGAGCCGATTTCCAGGGAAATTCGGGATAACCCCAAGGGAATCCCGGGATAACGCTGAGGGAATCCTGGGATAACCCCAAGGGAAATCTGGGATAACCCCAAGGGAAACCCGGGATAACGCCAAGCTGAGGCTGATTTCCTGGGAAATCCGGGATAAATCCAAGGCAAGCCCGGGATATTCCCAGGGCAATCCCGGGATAACGCCAAACTGAGGCCGATTTCCAGGGAAATCTGGGATATTCCCAAAGCAATCCCGGGATAACACCCAGGCCGCGCCTCCTCGCGGCCCTTAGCAACGCCCCTCACTCCCGTTGCTATGCGGAAGCACCGCCCTATTTGTCCCTCCGCGCTCTCCGTCCCTCCACCCTCCTCTCCCGCCCCTCCCTCCTCTTCCCACCAATCAAACCGCACACGCGGCTGCCCTCCACCAATCACCGCGAGGCGCGCCTCTCCCTCTACCCAATGAGAACTCGGCCCGCCTTTCCGCGCACGCGCAGTGCCCGCGGCGCGTCCCCGCGTGCAGCCGGCGCCACCGCCCTCATGTCGTGGCTGTTCGGGCTGAACCGCGGGGCTGCCCCGGGCGGCGGCGGGGACGCGGCTCCTCCGGGCTCCGGCAGCGGCCTCTCGCTGCCGCCCGGCCCCGCTGCTGGCGGCGGCGGTGGAGGCGGTGCTGGAGGCGCCGGGGACCGTCAGACGCCCAAGGACAAATGGAGCAACTTCGACCCCACGGGCCTGGAGCGCGCGGCCAAGGCGGCGCGGGAGTTGGACGCGTCCCGTGCGTGAGGGGACGGGAGGGAGGGCTCGGAGGGGTGTGGGGGAAAGGGTCTGTGTGAAAAACAGCGTGTATTTTATAATTGGCTTTTCGCAAATGTTAAAATTACTATTATATGTGTTGTGTTAGAAAGTTACGCTGTATTAATTCTCTTAGGTAGTGTGGTAAATATGGTTTTAGGTGATAAAAAATTGGTGTTTTTCACCCAGGCGGAATCTCCCGGACGCCCCTTCCTGCCCTTCACAGGGAGCAGAGCTTGGTCCCGGACTGTGAAAAACGCCAATCGCTTGTTTTTAAAATTTTCAACGTTTAATAGTAATAAAATGGTTATAAAAATAGGAATGCAATTAGAGCAATCATAATTTGGACAATTTGAATTAGGACAGTATGAGACAATAGAGACAAAGAGTTATGGACAGTCCAGGTACCTCTTTTTGCGCAGCGCAAGCCCAAAAAAGGACCCAGATTAACAGAGGATTAACCCTTAAAAACAACAGCCTGTTGCATATTCATACACCTCACACATGATGCATAAATTCCATTCAAACACAGGATTCTGTTTGGTCATCATCAACTTCTTCCTCTGAATCCCAACAGCGCCTTCAAGGCGGGAAGAAGCTCATTTCTGCTGATAATGGAGCAATAAATTCTTTTCTCTGAAAGATTCATTGTGTGGAATCACTGCTCAGGTTTTGTGTCCAGGCTCTGAGCCCAGTATATAAATCTGTGAGTTATATTTCTAAGTTATATCTAAAAAAGGAATTGTTTTGTCTCCCTGCTCTGTGCACAGAGCTCACCATCCCATAATGTGGAGCCCAGACCCACACACTAAAGGAGCACAGTATGTGGAAAATAGAAAAACTAAAACCTGAGATATCAGCACAGAATCTGGAAAATAGAAAAGTTCAAATATACAGAATGTGAAAAATAGAAAAGGCAAAACCTGAGATATCAGTACAGAATTTGGAAAATAGGGAAGTTAACTCCTGAGGCATCAGTACAGAATCTAGAAAATGGCAAAGCTAAAACCTGAGATATCAGTACAGAATCTGGAATATATAAAATCTAAAACCTGAGGCATCAGTACAGAACCTAAAATATAGAAAAGATAAGCCTGAGGCATCAGTACAGAATCTGGAAAATAGAAGAGTTAAAACCTGAGATATCAGGAAAGAATCTGGAAAATAGAAAATCCAGAACCTGAATCTGGAAAATAGAAAATCCAGAAAACAGAATCTGGAAAATAGAAGTGTTAACACCTGAGATATCAGCACAGAATCTGGAAAATAGAAAAGTTAACACCTGAGATACCAGCACAGAATCTGGAATGTGTAAAAGCTAAAACTTGAGGCATCAGCACAGTGACACCAATACAGAATCTGAAAAATAGAAAAGCCAAAACCTGAGATATCAGTACAGAATCTGGAGAATATAAAAGTTAACACCTGAGATATCAGCACAGAATGTGGAATATATAAAATCCAACCCCTGATCCATCCCTGTCCCTTTCTGTCCCCCCAGGCCATGCCAAGGATGCCCTGAGCCTGGCCCAGATGCAGGAGCAGACCTTGCAGCTGGAGCAGCAAACCAAACTCAAGGTGGGTTGGGATTCCTCTCCTTGGGACCCTCAGCTTCTGGGAGGGACAAATTCAAATCTTTCCTCTGCAGAGGGTGATGAATTTGTCTTTCTGCTCAGCTTCAGCAAATTGTGGTTATTTGCCTTTAGGGGGAAAAAATGAGTAATTCTGGGAGGTGATCTCAGCTAATTTGGGCTATTCTGACACAATTTTTGTGGCTTTGAATATCCCTGCTGGTTTTGGGGAATGAAAGGGGTTTCTGGAGCTCTAACTGTGTGAAGGACAGATTTCTGTTTCTCTTATAAAGGACAGACTTCTGTTTCTCTTATAAAGGAATTTAGGGATTGTTTGGGTGTTGCTTGATCTCTTGAATTTATTTTTTTTAATTGTGTTTAATCCTGAAATGGTTGATTATGATTTTTTATGATAATTCAGAAATTAATATTTTCTCATAGTTATTGTAATATATTATTGCAATACTTTATTGTAATATTTTATTATAATAGCTTATAATAATATTGTATTATAGTATCTTACTATAATATTTTATGATAGTATCTTACTATAATAGTTTATTATCATATTTCATTATTATATTCTATTATCATATTTCATTATAATACTTTGCTTTATCACCATATTTTATAATCATATTTATGATAATATATAATATAATTATATATTATAAGTTTATAATGTATTAAAAATATAATATTTAGTAACATTTTAGTATCATATTTTGGTATATATATTATAATGTTATAATATTTTAGTGTCATATTATAGCATGATATTATAGTATATTTTATTATTATATTATAGTATCATATTTTATTATAATAATGTATGACCATATTTTATTACCATAATGTATTATAATATTTTATTTTTCATATTTATTTTAATTATTTATATTTACTATCATATTTTAACTTCCTTGTGTCAGTGGTCGTATTTTAAGGGTACCACTCTGAATACAGAGGGATTTCTTGGAATGTGATTGTCAGTAGCACTTCTGTACAGATATTTTGTATTCCTGGTGATGAAATTTCTGTGAATTTCTGGAGATTAAATTTCTGTACAGATGATCTCTGAATTCCTGATTATGAAATTTCTGTGAATTCCTGGTGATTAAATTTCTGTAAATTTCTGATTATTAAATTCTGCTTCTGCCCCAGGAGTACGAGGCTGCCATAGAACAGCTGAAGAATGAGCAGATCCGGGTGCAGGCAGAGGAGAGAAGGAAAACTCTCAATGAAGAAACCAAACAGCACCAAGCAGTAAGGGAATGAGGGGGAAAAGGCAATGATGCATTCATTATCCCTTTCATTATCCCTTTATTAATTATCCCTTTTATTCATTATCCCTTTATGGGGAGAGGGGCTCTGGGGGTGCTCACAGGCTGAGCCCCCATTTTGTCCTGGATTTGTGATGTTGAGCTGGATTTTTAATCCTCTTGGACTTTTATTCCCAAGTTCTTGAACATCCAAAGGAATTGAATGCTCAAGAAATTGGGAACAAAAGTCCAAGAGTTAATTGTATAATTAACAGTTTCTCTCTAGCAGTTTGGATAAAAGTCTAAGGGTTAATAGTGCAGTTAATTTTCTCTCTAGCAGTTTCTCTCATTTTGTGTTTTTTGGGGTTTTCCTAAAGAGCTTTTCAGGGAAATGTTGAGAAATACTGATTTACAAACTGTTTATGTTAGCCTGGACAGTGAAATGGCTCTGAAGTTATTTGGATTTCAGTCTTAAGTATTTTATTTCTTCTGAATTAAACAGGAAAAAATATCTTGAGGAGAAGTGATGCAAATCTGAGTTGTTGTGAGCAGTGTTGGTTTGTTTTAGCTTGAGTGGCTGATGTGGCAATAATCCTGAAACAGGGAAAACAAAGACTGGCCTTAATGTTAAAAGTTAAATTATGGAGATTTCTTGCTCTGAGAGCACAGGAGAGGAGGGAATTGATTAATTTTAATGGAATTTCCAGCTTGGGGAGTTTGCTAGAACTGTTTATTGGGCACGTGGTGATTTTACCCTGGCAGAGTTTGGACTTTGAGCAGGGCTGGCCCAGGGAGCAGCTGCACACTCAGGGCTTGGTTCTTCACCTCCTGCTGCTCACAGGGCACCACTGGAGCTCACAGCAAACTCAAATATCCTTGGTAAATAACCAAAATCAACTTGGTTTATTCCAAGTTGCTGAGGAGATAATTCCCAAGCTGTTGTGCTGTGTTTGGAATAGAGAATGGTGTCACCCCCTGACCTGTGGATCCTCAACCCCCTTCCAGTTCAGGGGAGATGATTTGGGTTTATTTGGAGTTCCAGTGATTGATAAGGGGATCCTCAGCCCCCTTCCAGTTCAGTGGAGATGATTTGGGTTTATTTGGAGTTGCAGTGATTGATAAGAGCAATTAATATGGAATAAATAAATCTTCATCAAAACCATCAGCACATCCTGACAGTTCTATTGCTTGCAGTCTCCAGTCCAGATAATGTGGTTTAGAACATGAAAACCTTATTTTTCCCACTGAAATCTCCTTTTGTGGGCCAAGAAAACTTTGCTTTTTATTTTGGCATCTGTGATACCATAAAATGAAGTCAGACTGTAGAGATTCCTCAGCACAGAGAAGTTCTTGGTGCTGTCTGAGGATATTTTACCCCGTTCACATTTAAATCCAGGATAATTCTTTATTTGTGTGGATTTCCCCATTTTATTTGCTTTTTTCCATCTGAACCTCATTTCCCTGAGGAGCAGGCAAAGAAACCTTTGCTTTTTATTTTGGCATCTGTGATACCATAAAATGAAGTCAGACTGTAGAGATTTCTCAGCACAGAGAAATTTTTGGTGCTGGCTGAGGATATTCACATTCAAATCCAGGATAACTTTTTATTTGTGTGGATTTCCCCATTTTATTTATTTTTTTTCCCCTCTGAACCTCATTCCCCTGAGGAGCAGGCTGGTTTTTAACTGCCTAATCTGTGTATTTTATTTTGTTTTTTGAAGAGAGCCCAGTACCAGGACAAGCTGGCCCGGCAGCGCTACGACGAGCAGATGAGACAACAGGTAGGGTAGGGTGGGGATTCCTGCTCTGATCCTGCTGGGAATGGGCTGGGAGCCCTCTGAATTCCCAGAGATGCTCTGGAGCTGTGCCCTGTCCTGCTGGGCACTGCTTATCTCTGTTATCAACATCAGCACTGCACATCAAGGCTGGGCATTGGGGCAAAGCAGCAGCTTGGGGTTAGGAGGGGAAATCTGGGAGATAGGGAGAGAAAAACACACTTCAACCTTGGAAATATTTGTGAAGGCTATGCTAGAACAGACCAGGCAGATTTAAAGAATAAAGCAGGGATTTATGAAAAGTTTCTCCTCAATGGATCCACCTTGGGCAGCACAAGAGCCCAGCCAGGGCTGCACCCAAGATGAACCAGAATGGTCCCAGAATGAACCCAGGATGAACCAAAATGGTCCCAAAACGAACCCAGGGTGAACCAAAATGGTCCCAAAAAATGGATGATCAGTCACAAAATTAGAAGTTTTAGTCCATTTTTCATCTTGGAGTGAATTGTCCCATTCCAGCTTTAGCCCCTGCAGTCCCACCCTTGTTTTTCTCTCTCCAGCCCACGCTGTTTGTGCTCCTGGGCTGAGATTTGGATCACTTGTCCTTGGTGCCCAGCTGGAGCAGGAATTGTTTTGTCTCCCTGCTCTGTGCACAGAGCTCACCATCCCCTGATGTGAAGCCCAGACCCACACACTAAAGCAGCACAGAATGTGAAAAACAGAAAAACCAAAACCTGAGGCATCAGTACAGAATCTGGATAATAGAAAATCCAAAACCTGAGGCATCAGTAGCACTTAATTTTACACTTGATGGAGTCATTACAACATCAACATCTCCTCTGCTGTCATCTCTCCCTGTAGCAACTTGCTAATGAGGAGAACCTGAGGAAGCAGGAGGAGTCTGTGCAGAAGCAGGAGGCCATGAGGCGAGGTGAGTTTTGTTCAGCTGCTGAGGGTGTGAGGACATGTGGAGTCCCTGTGCTGATCTTTGTGTCCATTTGATGTCACATAAATTCCAGGAGGTAAATTCCAATTGCTCCCAAGGTTAGCTTTAGAAAGGGCTGCACTCCTAAACATCTGCCCTGCCACTCCTGATTTCCCAGTGAGCTGTCAGCATCTCCTGAAATTCTGATTTCATACTGGAATTCAGATTTCATACTGGAATTCTTATTTCCTACCTGAAATTCTGATTTCATACTGGAATATTTATTTCATACCTGAAATTCTGATTTCATACTTGAGGAGGGGAGAGAAACAAAACATCTTCTGGAAGGAGTGGTTGAATCTGTGTCACCTCATCTCCATTCAGTTTCCTGCAGAAAATAAAAAAGTTGTAGTGTGAAATTTGCTTAGTTTCTTTTTGTTGTTGGGAATTGCCAGAATTCCTGGGTTTGCAGAACTCCACTGTGGTGCAGATCTCAGAAATGTTGAGAAATGTTAATGTTAATTAACTGAATGGGATGGTTTGCTCCAAACACAGATGTGGCCAGCTGTGCTGCCATCCAGTGAAGGAAGTGTAGCTGAGCAACACATCCCAGTGGTGAAACCCTGTAGGGTTGGGTTATTTCACTCCTCAATTTCTCATTCATTCTCCCTTCACACAATTCCATGTTTGAAGTAACAGCGCTTCCAGAATCTGAAATTCTGGTTTCATACTGGAATTCTGATTTCATGCCTGAAATTCTGATTTCATACTGGAATTCTGATTTCATACTGGAATTCTGATTTCATACCTGGAATTCTGATTTCATACTGGAATTCTGGTTTCATACTGGAATTCTGATTTCATGCCTGAAATTCTGATTTCATACTGGAATTCTGATTTCATACCTGAAATTCTGATTTCATGCCTGGAATTCTGATTTCATACTGGAATTCTGATTTCATACCTGAAATTCTGATTTCATACTTGAGGAGAGGAGAGGATTATTTCACTCCTGAATTTCTCATTCATTCTCCCTTCACACAATTCCATGTTTGACGTAACAGCGCTTCCAAAATCCCTTTTGACACCGTTTTGCTCCTCTTCCTTCCAGTCCACAGCACCTTCCCTGGGGTTTTCCTTCTCCCAGGCCACAGTTTGACCTCTGTGCTGTTTGTGTTCCCCAAGCCACGGTGGAGAGGGAGATGGAGCTGCGGCACAAGAACGAGATGCTGCGGGTGGAGGCGGAGGCGCGGGCGCGCGCCAAGGCCGAGCGCGAGAACGCCGACATCATCCGCGAGCAGATCCGCCTCAAGGCGGCCGAGCACCGCCAGACCGTGCTCGAGTCCCTCAGGTGGGGCTGGGGGGCTCTGGGTGTGGGGGGAAAAATGGAGTTTGTGCCTCTGGAGGTGCTCCAAGTGTGGGGAAAACCTGGGGTTTGTTCCTCTAGAGGTGCTCCAAGTGTGGGGGAAACTGGAGTTTGTGCCTCTGGAGGTGCTCCATGTGTGGGGAGAACCTGGGGTTTGTTCCTCTGGTGCTTCTACACATGTTGGAGAACCTGGGGTTTGTTCCTCTGGTGCTTCTCTTCTTAGCACATGGGAGAACCTGGCGTTTGTTCTTCTGGTGCTTCTCCAAGCGTGTCCCCATGTCTGGGAGAACCTGGGGTTTGTTCCTCTGGTGCTTCTACACATGTTGGAGAACCTGGGGTTTGTTCCTCTGGTGCTTCTCCAAGTGTGGGAGAACCTGGGGTTTGTTCCTCTGGAGCTTCTCTTCTTAGCACATGGGAGAACCTGGCGTTTGTTCTTCTGGTGCTTCTCCAAGCGTGTCCCCATGTCTGGGAGAACCTGGGGTTTGTTCCTCTGGTGCTTCTACACATGTTGGAGAACCTGGGGTTTGTTTCTCTGAGGAATTTCAGCCTGGTGCTTCTCCAAGTGTGTCCCCATGTCTGGGAGAACCTGGGGTTTGTTCCTCTGGAGGTGCTCCAAGTGTGTCCCTGCACGTTGGAAAAGCTGGGGTTTGTTCCTCTGAGGAATTTCACTCCGGTGTTTCTCTAAGTGTGTTCCCACACATAGGAGAACCTGGGGTTTATTCTTCCAGGGAATTTCAGCCTGGTGCTTCTCCCACGTCGGGGAGAACTTGGGGTGTGGTCCTCTGGAGCTTCTCCACATGTGGGAGAACCTGGGGTTTGTTCTTCTGGTGCTGCTCTAGGTATGGGAGAACCTGGGGTTTGTTCCCTTGAGGAATTTCAGGCTGCTGCTTCTCCAAGTGTGTCCCCATGTGTGGGAGAACCTGGGGTTTGTTCCTCTGGAGGTGCTCCATGTGTGGGAGAGCCTGGGGTTTGTTCCTCTGATGCTTCTCCAGGTGTGTCCCCACATGTGGGAGAACCTGGGGTTTGTTCCTCTGCAGCTGCTCCACGTATGTCCCAGCACATGGGAGAACCTCAGGTTTGTTCCTCTGAGGAATTTCAGCCTGGTGCTTCTCCCACGTGTGGGAGAACCTGGCGTTTGTTCCTCTGGTGCTGCTCTACGTGTGGGAGAACTTGGGGTTTGTTGCCTTGAGGAATTTCAGCCTGGTGTTTCTCCAAGTGTGTCCCAGCATGTGGGAGAACCTGGGGTTTGTTCCTCTGATGATTCTCCAAGTGTGTCTCCATATATGGGAAAACCTGGGGTTTGTTCCTCTGATGATTCTCCAAGTGTGTCTCCATATATGGGAAAACCTGGGGTTTGTTCCTCCAGGGAATTTCAGCTTGGTGCTTCTCCACATGTGTCCCCACCTGTGGGAGACCCTGGGGTTTGTTCCTCTGAGGAATTCCAGTGTTGTGCGACCCCTCGATCTTGTCTCGCTACATTGTCACCTGAAATAGCAACCAGAGATATTCAGGGTGATACAATTTTTCTAACAAATTATTTCAGGCCTTTTCCTCTGGTCCTGGAGCTCAGTAGCCCTGAGAACCCCTCAGCTCTTTCAGTCCCCTCAGTTCTTTCAGAACATCCATCACAAAGCTGTCCTGCACTTTGGCTCCTCAGGGCTGGCTGTTTAGCTTTGGAATTGGTTCATTTTAGATCCTTTGAGATTTTGAACAAAAAAAGCTTTAAATACCTCCAGTCCAGCCCAAATAATGCATTAAAGTAAATTGATACCATCTTAGGGCCAGGTGCATTTCTGGACTTAATCCCAGCTCAGGTGTAGGCATCAGATGATTGTAAATATATTTTCAGATTATAAATGTATTTTCAGATGATTATAAATATATTTTCAGAAGAATATAAATATCAGATGATTATAAATATTACAAATATTTTCCCATGTTCACATTCCAGTTCTGAGGTGAGCCTTTAGCTTTGACTTGTTCCGAAGATGAACAACTTTAATACAATCTGAAATCCTGTTTTAAAATTTATTAATTCACTGAATTCCCTTTTTCTCCTGCTTGCCTTGCTGTCTGTTTGCCACAGGACAGCTGGGATGCTCTTTGGGGAAGGATTCCGTGCTTTTGTGACAGACTGGGACAAAGTCACAGCCACGGTAAGCTTGGCAAACCTGGCAGAAACTTCCAGAAAAGCCAGGTTGGAAATGTGTGTTAAACTCTGATTGTGTCACAGCTTTCAATCCAATTTTGATGTAGCCCAGAGAGCACTTGGAGAACTGCTATGTGTGCTGAATAAATTGATTAAAAGCCAGAGCAGCATCTTTTCACAGGACAAAAGAGCTTGGCAGTGGAATCTTGGGGACAGAAAGTTGTTCCTCAGTGTAAAACTTAAAACAACAGTGAAAATATATTTTTGGTAGCTGGTTAAAATAGAAATTCTGCTTTAAATCCGCCACCACCATCTGCTCCACCCTCTGATTTTTTAATACACACAAAAAGGCTGATACAAAACATCCTTTGCCTGAGAGCTGTGGGGAGAACAAGAGAAACTTTTAGTGGCTCCTTTTGTCATCTGCAGCATTCAGAGCCCTTTGTGGATCTGTGCTTGGTGCTTTGAGCTGTGCATTCACTTGACCCACATACAAATTGTCATTTTTGCTTCTGACATGTTCTTCCCTTGTGAATTTGGGACATTTAGCTTTAGAAAAAAGAAAATAAAAGAAAAAGGCAAGTGTATTTTTGGAAAGGAGATAACACAGCTGGAACTCATATTTTTTGTTGCTTTAAAAAGTTTGGAATTACTATAAGGTAAGAACCAGTTATTTTAAGGTTCTTGTAAATGAAACCTGAATTTTCAGCTTTAAGTGCTGCTTTTTCTCTACCTCTTCCCAGCCAAGCAGTAATTTCCATTCCCGTGGTGACAATTCCCATTCCCATGGTGGCCATTCCCATTCCCATGGTGACAGTTCTCATTCCCATGGTGACAATTCCCATGGTGACAGTTCTCATTCCCATGGTGACAATTCCCATTCCCATGGTGACAATTCCCATTCCCATGGTGGCCATTCCCATTCCCATGGTGACAATTCCCATGGTGACAATTCCCATTCCCATGGTGACAATTCCCATGGTGGCCATTCCCATTGCCATGGTGACAATTCCCATTCCCATGGTGACAATTCCCACGGTGGCCATTCCCATGGTGACAATTCCCATTCCCATGGTGACAATTCCCATGGTGGCCATTCCCATTGCCATGGTGACAATTCCCATTCCCATGGTGACAATTCCCATGGTGGCCATTCCCATGGTGACAATTCCCATTGCCATGGTGACAATTCCCATTCCCATGATGTTTTTGGTTTTGTGTCTCCTCTGGAGCCCCTCATTCCCTGTTCCCAAAGGTTCTACCTCAAGTTTTTTTGTTTCATTGTGGTTTTAGTGTAATTCACTTTTTTACTGGTCAGAAACCCATTCCTTTGATACTTTATGAGAAAAAGGTGGGTAAATGTCTCCATGCAAAACCATGACACCCTGTAATGAGAATTGATTTTTAGGGTGGGGTTTCATACAGAATTTTTAAAGCTCTGTTTCTCTGTTTCATCAAAAATCTGAGAAAATTACATCAGCTCCATCCAGGCACAGGAACTTTGTGCTGGATGGTCTGAGAGAGCATGAGATCATGGCTCTGTTTTTAGAGGGAGGCTGCTAAAAAGGTGAAATCTGTTCTGTGTTCTGCATCTGAGCATGGAGATCCCTCACTCTTTGCATCCTGGAACTCTCAGTTCTGATCCCTTGGTGTTCCCACCCGGAGCAGGGGTGATGTCACACATTCCAGCAGAGTGAGGGCCACCAGATGGTGCCTCATGGTTTATTGAGCAGTGCCACCATCCTTGCTGTCCTTGAGGCTTCTCACCCTGAGCTGTGCTTGCAGGAGAAGTCAGCTCATTTTAAAAGCAATTGCTGCAGTTTGCTCTTTTCTCTGATATGAATTATTGGCATCAGCTCTGAGCTGACTCCAGAGTCTGGAGTGTTTCTGCTTCACTGGCAGATCCATGGCAATGGCTCATTTTGGGGGGTTTCTGGAGGAACAGCCCAGTGAGTGATGGAATTCCCATTCTGTGATGGTAATTCCCATTCCATGGTGCTAATTCCCATTCCCATGGTGCTAATTCCCGTTCCATGGGGGTAATTCCCATTCCCATGGTGACAATTCCCATTCCCATGGTGACAATTCCCATTCCCATGGTGATAATTCCCATTCCATGGTGGTAATTCCTATTTCCATAGTGATAATTCCCATTCCATGGTGGTAATTCCCATTCCCATGGTGCTAATTCCCATTCTATGGGTGTAATTCCCATTCCCATGGTGGTAATTCCCATTCTGTGATGGTAATTCCCATTCCCATGGTGACAATTCCCATTCCCATGGTGCTAATTCCCATTCTATGGGTGTAATTCCCATTTCCATAGTGATAATTCCCATTCCCATGGTGGTAATTCCCATTCTGTGATGGTAATTCCCATTCCCATGGTGGTAATTCCCATTCTATTATGTTAATTCCCATTCCCACGGTGGAAATTCCAAAAAGTGTGGGGCTGAATTTTCAAGTAAATTGAAAATTGGGAATTCAATTCACTTGAAAATTCAGCCCCACACTTTTTGGCTGATGTGGTTTATTTTCATTACTTAATTTATTTGAAAATTCAGCTCCACACTTTTTGGTTTATCTTCATTATTCAATTTACTTGAAAATTCAGCCCCACACTTTTTGGCTGATGTGGTTTATCTTCATTATTCAATTTACTTGAAAATTCAGCCCCACACTTTTTGGCTGTTGTGGTTTATCTTCATTACTCAATTTACTTGAAAATCTGGACATCCCCACATTTTTTTGGCCAGGATGCACTTTTGGATTCAGGGCTAAATGCTTCACTTGTGCTTTTTTGCTGTGCAAGAGCAGTCAGTGAACAGGGAGTGTGAGACCTTGACTGTCTGTGCAGGGATAATAAAAAACACCTTACCAAAAATAAACCCCTCCTGCTCAGCATTTGTCCTGAATCTTAATTCCCCACCACAGCAGCACTGCCTTGCCAAGTGGTTTTTGCTCATTTTTCCCCATTTTTTTTGCAGGTGGCAGGCCTGACCCTGCTGGCAGTGGGGGTTTATTCTGCCAAAAATGCCACGGCTGTAGCAGGGCGTTACATCGAGGCCAGGCTGGGCAAACCCTCCCTGGTGAGGGAAACCTCCAGGATCACTGTGCTGGAGGCTCTGAAACATCCCATCAAGGTAAAATTCACCTTTGGTTCTGTGTTCCACTCAGCTGGGACTGTCAGTGAATAAATAAATAAAATATTGGAGGTGGGATGGATGGCTGGAGGCTCTGAAACTTCCCATCGAGGTAAAATTCACCTTTGGTTCTGTGTTCCACTCAGCTGGGACTGTCAGTGACTAAATAAATAAAATATTGGAGGTGGGATGGATGGGCTGAGCCCTCTGGTGTTCTGTTAAGGTGTTTTAGTCCAAGTGAGTTGTCAAAATGTGGTTTTATTCTGCCTGTGAGTAACTGAATTTGTCCTCCCAAGGTTGGTAAACGTCTCACCAGCAAGGCTCAGGATGCCCTTGAAGGAGTTGTTCTCAGTGTGAGTACTCTGTTCTCCTGCCTTGGGCTGTCAAGGATGACTTTGGATTCCAAATGAGAGCTGCTGGTGCCTCAAACTCCCTTCTAAAGCTGCAATTCCAGCAGTTTTAGAGTTTTTTTGTCCCTTGGGACAATACTGAGACCATAAATAAGCTCCTGTGTTCAGTGTGACATGCATTAAGCAGCTTGTTCACCTTTTTTCCCCTCTGTGAAAAGCAGTTGGAAATTTTAGTTCGGTCCTTGCTCTGCTGCAGTTTCTCTCTGTAGTCAGCATGTGAAGATTGAGAATTCCACTTGTGCCATCTGAAGTTAAGGATTACTGAACCCAAACCAGCTTTTAGGCCAAAAAAAAATCTAAATATCCTGTACATTTACCCACCCTGAGATTGGTTCTTAACTTGCTAATTAGTGCTACTTCTGTATATTTGCTTCTGAATTGAAATCCTGGTTATCTGGCAAATTTAAGACTTGCTTGAAGCTGCTGAGAGAAAATGCTCCTGCAGGAATATCTCTCTCCCAGTATCCCCAAATGCAGTAGGAATATAAATATAAATTTATAACTTGAGAAGGAATTAGCACTGCAAAGAGTTGCTGATGTTTTGACATATCCCTCCCAGGGCATCCAGTAGGAAGTGAATATTTAGGTGTTATCTGCTCCTAGAGTAGTCACTGCACTCCTTCCTGCACTGCTGCTTTTTCTTATGAAAGAATTGTAGCCAAGTGGACAGAAAATCCAGTAAATCCTCACATAGGACAGGAAATGACCTTGGTGTGGAGTCATGAGCAGCTGAAGTTAAGACTTAAAAGCTTGAGCCTGGAGTGCTGCCTCCTTCCTGCAGGTACTGATTTGGGAACCTGGTAGGTGCAGCTCTTTTTGGTACCTTCTGATCCTTAAATTGAATTTTTTTTTTCCCTGCAGCCCCAGCTGGAAGCACGTGTGAGAGACATTGCCATAGCAACGAGAAACACAAAAAGGAACAAAAGCCTCTACAGGAATATCCTGATGTACGGGCCCCCTGGCACTGGGAAAACTCTTTTTGCCAAGGTAAAAACCCTGCCAAGATTCTGCCAAAGTGTTCTGAAAATTCCAGGGCTGTGGAGCTTCCCTGGGCTGGGATCTCTGGCTGGAGTGTTGAACAAACATTTTGTTCTGTTGGGGAGGGAGGAGAGAGCAGCCTGATTCAGCTCTGAATCACTGCAGCCACTTGGGTCTGCATTTTCTATCTGGGAAAGGCCCTGGGGACTGGGATTTATTTGTGGGAATCCCTTGGGACTGGGATTTATTTGTGGGAATCCCTTGGAACTGGGATTTATTTGTGGGAATCCCTTGGAACTGGGATTTATTTGTGGGAATCCCTTGGAGCTGGGATTTATTTGTGGGAATCCCTTGGAGCTGGGATTTATTTGTGAGAATCCCTTGGGACTGGGATTTATTTGTGGGAATCACAGTAGCAGCCACTTGTCCATGAGACCTGAGGTTTCATCAACTTTTTAACCGTGGCAGATTTGCCAAAGTGATGCAAATTGAATTTTTTTTTCCTCTGTCAGTACATTAAACCCATACCCCAATAGCTTTGAGATTATGGCACCCACTGGATTTCTAAAGCCACCTAGTTTGGGTTTCTAAAGCCCAGAGAGTTGGATAGAAATAGAAAAATAAATAAAATCACAACAGCAGCCACTTCCTAACCATCTCTGTTGGATTTATATGGTTTATTTTTTGCCCTAAATAAAAAATTGCCATTAAGTGATAAAGAACATAAAGAAGCCAATACTTCCCTCTGCAAACCAGCACTGACAGGACTAAAATGCTTTAATTCTAAAGCCACCTAGTTTGGGTTTCTAAAGCCCATAGAGATGGACAGAAATTGAAAAAATAAACAAAATCCCAGCAGCAGCCCCTTCATATCCACCTCTGTTGGGTTTATATGGTTTATTTTTGCCCTAAATAAAAAAATTGCCATTAAGTGATAAAGAACATAAAGAAGCCAAAACTTCCCTCTGCAAACCAGCACTGACAGGACTAAACTGCTTTAATTCTTAACCCACATAGTTTGGGTTTCTAAAACCCATAGAGATGGACAGAAATGGAAAAATAAAATCACAGCAACAACCCCTTCATAGCCTCCTCTGTTGGGTTTATATGGGTTATTTTTGCCCTAAATAAAAAAATTGCCATAAAGAAGCCAATACCTCCCCTCTGCAAACCAGCACTGACAGGACTTAAATTACTTTAATTCCTCTTCCTCCTCCCTGGCCTTGCAGTGAAAATAAAGGTTGAATTGGGTGGTTTTTGTTTCCCTGCAGAAGTTGGCTGTGCACTCAGGCATGGACTATGCCATCATGACAGGAGGGGACGTGGCCCCCATGGGCAGGGAAGGGGTCACAGCCATGCACAAACTCTTTGACTGGGCCAACACCAGCAGGAGAGGGTAAGTTGGGCTTTTATTTAATGCTCAGTTTGGGTTTTTGTTCAAAAAACCCTCACTCACAACCACAACAGTGTAGTTCGGCCCTAATATTTTATATATATATATATATGTAAAATATTTGTATTATATTACATTACATGACATTATATTACATGACATTACATTATCTATAATATAATATATAATGCATCTATTATACATAATAAATATATATATAATATATATAATAAATATTTATTTATCTATTAAAATAAATAAATTTTACTTATTTTAAAATAAATAAATTGTTAGAAAGCAAGGTGTTGATCCTGCAAGAACCTTGCTTTTCCCTTTGAGGGGACAGCAAATCTCTTCTGAAATGATCCATGGAGTTGTTATACAAATTGCTCAGTATAATTATTTTTATTTCATTATATTTGCAAGAATAATCATAATAAATTAGTTGTTATTGAGTGAGTTAACACAGAATCTCCTGAAGATTTCAAGCACTGATGGTATTTAAATTCAGCTTCTGGTTTACTTTTGAGTCCTAAACAGGAAGAGTGAATAAAAGAAATAAAAGAGGATAAGGAGGACATAGATGCTAAAAGTATTGACATAAAAATCACAAACAGGTGTAAAATATCAGGTATAAAAATCACAAACACAAAAAAGAACTTTTGCTTTTTCAGTCACCTTTAAAATCAGATTTTTATCTGCAGAGACTCCTCAGGCTGAGGCTGAATTTGGCTCCCTGATTTTGTAGGAGTGTGTGGTTCATTTGCTCCTACCAATAGAAATGGATTTTTGATTTTTGCACTGCAGAGATTCTTGTCCAGCCAGGCTGGTGCAATTCAATATTGAACTTTCAGAGATGTCACTTTGGGTTTTGTGCTGCTTTGAGCTCAGATCTGTGAATGGAGCTGCCCAGTGATTTATGTGCTCTCTGATTGCTTCAGATGGACATTATCTTGTGGTGTCTCTTTTAATCCTTGCTTCATTCATCACCTGAATCTTTCTATTTCCCCTTACAAAGGAAAAAAAAAATCAGGGATTTAAAAGCAAGATTTAATTTTTTAAGCTTCTATCCTGAGGAGCTATAGAGGGAAGGTGTCAGAATTTAAGTGAGCTCAGAATTTAAGTGAGAACTTGGAAGAGATGTGAGGGTGCTCAGCTGGATGCTCCCATCAAGGAATTCTCTTCCAGCACTGCCTGGCTCTGAATTTCTCTGCCCTGATAAAAATTTTGTGCATTTCAGCTCCCTACACTGCCTGATCAAAGCTTACATGTGTCCATAAAATCAATATTCTCACCTCCAGCAGCACTGAAGTATTTAAGCATATTTAATTCTCAATATCCACCAGTGTGAGCTGCTTCCTATTTAGCTGAAATTGTGATAACACATTTTTGCAGAGAATATTTGGGCGAAGATGTTAACAGGCCTGAAATGCCCTGGAAAAAAGCTGGGTTTGAAGTTAGGCAGGGAGGGAATACAAGCTGTGACAGCTTTATGAGCAACCTGCTCCTGTTATTGATAAACATCTTTACAGGCTCAGTCCCGTGGGAAGAGCTCTGCCCTTGGGTTAGAAGTGAATTTATTTTGGTGAATAATTCATGGCCTTTATTAATTCACTTCTCCACAGGTAGTAAAGCCATTCCATTAGTGCTGCTGTGGTTTGGGAAAGAAAAACCTCACAAAACAACAAAGCAGGCTGAGGGCAGGACTGGTTTGAGCTTTTTGGAGGAGAAATGGCAGGGAGGTGTCACTGTCACCAAGATTTCTGTGTTGTGCCCTGCACACATCTCTGTAAAGAGGAGGGAATGCTAAAATAGCACTCAGACTTGAGCAGGTCTGAATTTCTGCATTTGAGGCTGAGGAGAAACTTCCAGAATGGAATGATGGAGCTGGGATTGTGGGTGTGGAGTTTGGATAGAAGTGGGAGGGAAACTCAGAGTTTGGGGTTTTAGAATATGGAAATATATGGGGCAGGGTGGAGGTTTTAGAACAGAGCCTGGTCCTTCTTCTCCTTCTTCTTCTCCTTCTTCTTCTCCTTCTTCTTCTCCTTCTTCTTCTCCTTCTTCTTCTCCTTCTTCTTCTCCTTCTTCTTCTCCTTCTTCTTCTCCTTCTTCTCCTTCTCCTTCTCCTTCTCCTTCTCCTTCTCCTTCTTCTTCTCCTTCTTCTTCTCCTTCTTCTTCTCCTTCTTCTTCTCCTTCTTCTCCTCCATGGCTTTGGGTGGTTTTGTGTAACTGGATAAAAACTCCCCATTGCAGGCTATGGGTGGTTGGTTTTTGGGTTAAAAGTAAAAATAATTTAGGTGTCATTTCTTAATTGGACACTTTATCCTTAAAAGGCCATGTAGAGACAGACAGGGCTCCATTTTTAGTTTGTTAAAGTGCTGCAGAACTCGGGGCTTGTGAGACTCTAACAGAGATAAGAACTAACAAACATCTGAGTCCAAACAAGAAATTCCATCTTGTCCATTTAATCCCAACCCTGGCAAACAGCAGAGGCTCCCCAGGCCTGCCTCAGCCTGTGCTCTCACTGTGCTGCTTCCCTTTGCAGCCTCCTGCTCTTCGTGGACGAGGCAGATGCATTCCTGAGGAAAAGGGCCACAGTAAGTGCTGGGTGTGTGTCTGCTCTGCTCCTGCTCCTCTTCTGCTCCTTCTCCTTTTCCTGCTCATTCTTCTGCTTTGCTCCTTCTCCTGTTCTGCTCCTGCTCTGCTCCTTCTGCTCCTTCTCCTGTTCTGCTCTTGCTCCTTCTCCTGCTCTGCTCCTTCTCCTGCTCCTGTTCTTCTCCTGCTCCTGTTCTTCTCCTTATGCTCCTCTGCTCCCTTCTTCTCCTGCTCCTTCTCCTGCTCTGGTTCTGCTCCTTCTCCCGCTCTGCTCCTTCCTTCTCCTTCTGTCCTTCTCCTTCCCCTTCCCCTCTTCCTTCTTCCTTCTTCCTTCTCCTCCTTCTTCTCCTTCTCCTCCTTCTCCTTCCTTCTCCTGCTCCTTCTCCTCCTTAAATAAAGGAATACAAATAAACAAATAGCCAAATAACAGAATCCCCTTTCTCCTTAATGCTGATTAAAGCTCTGACCTGCCTGCAGTCCCCAGCAGCTGATGCTCCTTTGGCTTTCACCTTTGCAGGAGAAAATCAGTGAAGATCTCAGAGCAACTCTAAATGCATTTCTGCACAGAACAGGGCAGCACAGCAACAAGTGAGTATCCACTTCAGCAGCTGATATTTGTCTGGGTTGAGAAAAGTCTTTAAAGGATCTCTGGAGGTTGGAAATGATCTGTGCTGCTGGGGAATTGAACAAAATCTGCAGAGAATTTCCCCCTCTCTTATGTGCTTCATGTAGCTTGTTCGTCCTTCAACTTTTCCTGGCACTTGGAAATCAGAACAGAAGGAAAACTTTTCCCTCAAACTTTGGTGATATTTGGACATCTTGAGTATCTTGATGTTTATATTGTGTTTCTTGGCCAGTTCCTGTTTATACAAGAGCCCAGGAAAATCACTCCCACAAAAATTCAGAGTTCTCCTGGCTGGGTGCTTCAAGTTCCCTGGAAAAACACTTGGGTGGTGTTTGCTCCACTGCAGTGACCTCTTGTGTGAGGCAGCTGAGTTTCCATTGCTTCCCCTGTGTTTAAAATCCCTGTGGGGATTTAAAATTGCCTTAGAGGAGCTCTGGGAGTTTTTTGGGGTGCTGGGGATGTTTCATTCTTTCCCCGATATTAAATTACCTCAGAAGAGCTCTGGGGATGTTTTCTGGGTGCTGGTGATTTTAAATTGCCTTGGAAGAGCTCTGGGAGTGCTTTTTGGGTGCTGGGGATGGTTTTTTCTTTCCCCTGATGTTAAATTGGGGAATGTTTTTGGTGCTGGGAGCTCTGGAGGTGTTTTTTGGGGTGCTGGAGATGCCCAGAACAGCTGAGCTCTCATTTACAATGAGCTCTGCCATTAAATTCAGCCCTGATTTCACCCGTGAGCCATCTGAGGACACTGAACATGCCCTGGTGATTCATGCTCTGCTTTTTACTTCTGAGCAGCCTCATTGCTGCTCTGGGCAAGGAGCAGCCCTGCATGCATCAGAGGGAGCTCACTGGGGTGAAATGGATGAAATGGGGTGTGTAAATGGGGTGCTTTGGTGACACCCTGAGGAAAACTCTTCCTTCAGCAGGGAATTGGCACCAGGGCTGGGAATTGCTGCTTTTCAACTTCCCAAAATCATCCTGTGGGATAGCAAACTGCCTGAATATCAGGCTGCATGGCAATCCTGGCTTAATCCTTAATCCAGGCTCGTGTTTTTGCAAGTTTTGATGGTAAAAAAGCCACAGTTTTGGCTTGGCCAAGTTATCTCCAGAAATGACAGCAGAGAACACGGCCCCTTGTAGGCAATGATTCAGCCAGACAGCAAGAACATCAATATTCCAATAGCTGTGCTTAAAAGCCCATTTCAAATTATTAGGCACTGTTTAACTGGTGACATCAATTAAAGCATTAAAGTATTGGCACAGGGAGGAAGCATCATTACAAAGCAATAAAACAAAAAAGAATTTCCAGCTCCAAAATGCAGCAGGACCTGGAGCAGCACATGGAGCAGAGCTGGGTCTTCACACTTCAAACAACCCCAAACACATTTTAGTGTGCTGCTTGAGGTTATTTCTAAGGTTTTAAAGGTATTTCTAAGGAATCCAGGGGTTTTTTTCCATGTGATGAAACATCTTTGATCCCAACCACGGCAGCTCCCGACCTTCAAACTCAGCTCATCAATTTTGATTTTTATGCCTTTGTCAGTCAATCTTTATTTCTTTTTTCCCCCTAATTCCAGGTTTATGCTTGTTTTAGCAAGCAACCAGCCAGAGCAGTTTGACTGGGCCATCAATGACAGGATAGATGAGATGGTGAACTTTGAGCTGCCCCAGCTGGAGGAGCGCGAGCGCCTCGTCAGGATGTATTTCGACCAGCACGTCCTGAAGCCAGCCACAGAGGGCAAGCAGTGAGTGCCCCTCACAACTCTCCCTCTTTAGAGAATTCCCTGTCTTTATTTGTTTTTCCTCATCCCCTTTCTTGTGTATTTTGTCTATAAATCCTCTTTCAACAAGCAAAAGACTTGGGAAGTGCCTCTCACTGTGACACCGTCCCAGATTTTTGTTGTGCCCTGTGTTGGTGTTCACAGGGTCCCAGGATGAGGAAGAGATGAGAATCTTGACTCCATGTTTCAGAAGGCTGATTTATTATTTTATTATATATATATTATGTTAAAATGATCTATTAAAACTATACTAAAAGAATAAAAGAAAAGATTTCATCAGAAGGCTTGAAAGGAATAGAAAGGAAAGATAATAAAATCTTGTGACTGACCAGAGAGTCCAAGACAGCTGGACTGTGTTGGCCATTAATTAAAAACAACCACATGAGACCAATCACAGATTCACCTGTTGCATTCCACAGCAGCAGATAATTATTGTTTACATTTTGTTTCTGAGGCCTCTCAGCTTCTCAGGAGAAAAGATCCTAAGGAAATGATTTTTTATAAAATATGTCTGTGACAGAGGCATCCTTGGACTTAGAAGAGGGTTTTGGCTCTTCAAAGAGACAGGAGTTGGTGGTTGTAAAGGATTTTTCATAAAATATCATGGCTACAGTGCCCTTACAATTCAGGAGGCAGAGATGCAAGCAGGAACCTGTAGGAACTGCTGTGGTGTGGAGCTGACCAAGGGTGGTTGTGCCTTTCAGGAGGTTGAAGCTGGCCCAGTTTGATTATGGCAAGAAGTGCTCAGAGATTGCCAGGCTGACCGAGGGCATGTCCGGCCGGGAGATCTCCCAGCTTGCTGTGGCATGGCAGGTGAGAGGGGCTTTTCTGCTTCCCTTTTCCTTTTCCCTTCCCTTTTCCCTTCTTTTTCCTTCTCTTTCCTTCCCTCTCCTTCCTTTCCCTTTTCCTTCCCTTTCCCTTTCTCTTCCCTTTCTCTTCCCTTTCCTTTTCCTTTCCCCTTTCCCTTTTCCCTTTCCCTTTCCCCTTTCCCTTTCCCCTTTCCCTTTCCCCTTTCCCTTTCCCCTTTCCCCTTTCACTTTTCCCTTTCCCTTTCCTTCCCCCTTTTCCTTCCCCCTTTTCCTTCCCCCTTTTCCTTCCCCCTTTTCCTTCCCCCTTTTCCTTTTCTTTTCCTTTTCCCTCCATTTTCTTTCCTTTTTCTTTCCCCTTTTCCTTCTCTTTTTCTTCCCCATTTCCTTCCCCTCTCTTTCCCCTTTTCCTTCCCCTTCCCCTTTTCCTTCCTCTTTCCTTCCCTTTTTCCCCTCCCTTTTTCCCTCCCTTTCCCTCCTGGGATGTTCCAGGCTCTGACTCTGGACTCTCAGCTCCTCTCTCCCTGTGAAGGTTTCCCAAACTTGGGATAAATTCCTTCATTCATTGTCCATGGGGTGTCCCCAGGTCCCTGCTCCTCTGGGGTGGGTGTTGCAATATCCCCTCAATTCCTCACCCCATAAACAGGAGCAGTTTTGATAATCCCTAGTGGGAAATCCCTTATGGAATTTAGGCCAAGCAGGTGAGTTTGGGCTCAGTTTGGGGTGGCCACACTCCTGCTCCAGCTCAGGAAGCTCAGCAGAGCACAAACCTCATTTTGGTGCCCTCATTAATGCCCTGAACCATCCTCCTCCTCTCCTTTGTTCCAAACCCTCTCAGGGCAGTTTGAGCTATTAAAGAAACAAAACTGGGATTTGAGCTGAAAAAAATAGATATTTGTACATTTTATTTATACATAAATTTTGTACATTTTATGTATACATTATTTTTATTTATACATTCATTTTATATATTTATTTATAAAAATAAGAAATGCAGTCACTTCTAGTACAATTATTCACATGCTCAGCAAGCTTTAGTGTTGCTTTTTTATTTAAATCAGGTTTTCACCTTGTTTTGTCACAGCTGCCAGTTTCTGACTGGATTGGGGGTTTTCATGCACTAACCCAGAAATATCAGCTGCAGGGATGTGCTCCAGTTTGTGTCTCATGTAACCTACTCATGTCAGCTTCCTTGCAGGGCTTGTAAAACAAAGTGGCTTTTTGTTTAGCTCTTAAATTTTTAATTTAGTTTAGCATCTGAAGAACTTTGTGCATTTCATTCCTTCTACTAGTGATTTCCACCTTTTAAGGAACATAAATATTTATCTTTTCTGGTATAAATTAATTTTAATTGCAGCACTCATGAGCTGAGGTCCAATTTGAGTGCTGTTAATTCTTTATTTTATTCTTTGCTAGCACACAGCTGGTTAATTTTCCTGGATAATTTTTATGATATTGAATCATATTTCAAAATGTGTGCTGTCATCTATGAAAGGCTCTGCTGCCAACTATTTCCTGTAATAAGAAGTTGTGATAAATGATGCTTTGCTTTTTATCACCCCCTTATCAGCAAATTTGTCATTTCTCCCCAGGAATGACCTCAGCTTTTATCATTTATCCTTTAAGTGCTGCTGAAGGAAGGAAAAAGGTGGGGGAGAATAATTTCATTTTCCCTGACAGCTTTTAAAAATGCACCTGGTGCTGCCAGCACTGTTCCCAGGGTTTGGTGTAAAATTGCAGCAGGAAGTTGTTGTGCTGCTCTCTGCTCTCATGGAGCACTCAAAGGGCTTGGAAAAAATATATTTAGGAGAGGGGAGTGAGGAGAAATGTTTGAGGTGGTTGGATGGGGCAAGAAACTTCATTTGTGAGGAAATCAGGGTGGAAATGAGAGTGAAAATTAAGGTGAAAATCAGAATGTCAAGATGAAAATCACAGTGGAAATTAGAGTGAAAATTAAGGTGAGAATTAGAGTGAAAATCAAGGTGAAAATCAATGTTAAAATCAGAGTGAAAATCAAATCAAGGTTAAAATCAAAGGGACCTCATTAAAGTGAAACAAAAATGAGTTTGGGGGGAGCAAGCTTGGAATAAATTCCTTCATTACCTGAAGCTGTAATTGAGAGATTAAACCCCAATATGCAAATGGCCCAAACTTATAAAAATTTCATAAAAATATGAAAACCTGTGACTTGTTGTCCATTTTTTGAACAAGGAATTTGGAGTTTGGAGCTGCTCTTCCTGCCCCAAAAAAGTTAAACAAAAATGAGTTTGGAGCCAGCAAACTTGGAATAAATTCCTTCATTACCTCAAGCTGTAATTGGGAGATTAAACCCCAATATGCAAATGGCCCAAACTTATAAAAATTTTATAAAAATATGAAAACCTATGATTTGTGATCCATTTTTTGGGTTAATTTGGAGCTGGGACCAACTGGAGCTGCTGTTCCTGCCCCAAAAAAGATAAACAAAATTGAGCTGGGGGCAGCAAACTTGGAATAAATTCCTTCATGACCTCAAGCTGTAATTGAGAGATTAAACCCCAATGTGCAAATGGACCAAACTTATAAAAATATGAAAACCTGTGATTTGTGATCCATTTTTTGGATTAATTTGGAGCTGGGACCAACTGGAGCTGCTGTTCCTGCCCCCAAAAAAGTGAGACAAAAATGAGTTTGGAGGCAGCAAACTTGGAATAAATTCCTTCATTACCTCAAGCTGTAATTGGGAGATTAAACCCCAATATGCAAATGGATCAAACTTATAAAAATATTAAAATCTGTGACTTGTTGTCCATTTTTTGGACAAGGAATTTAGAGTTTGGAGCTGCTATTTCTGCCAGGAGCCCTTTGGGTTTTTCTGTGTGAACCCCTCAGCACCTTTGAGGAGAATCCCCTCTCCATGCAGGTGAATTCCCTCACCCCTGCTGCTCTCCTGGGTTCTGATTTTATTTTATTTTATTTTATTTTATTTTATTTTATTTTATTTTATATTTTATTTTATTCCCTGTTTTAGCCCTGGTGACTCTTTGTAGGAGCAGGGAAGGTTCCAAGCTGCATTTTCCAGCCTTTGTGGCAGTGTTTTCCTGCCTGCCCACCCCCTTGCCGTGGTGCTGCTGCACCCCTGTGGATGGCTGTGCTCTGAACTGGGTCAGGCAGCTGAGCACAGCCAAAAATAACCCTGCAGGATGAGTTAACTGCATAGCTCCAGTGCTCAGGGAGGAATTCACTCCAGGATTCCTCCAGGAACCAGAAATTACTGCAAAAAATCCTCACCAGGCTGGATGCAGCAGCTGCAGGGAGCTCGTGTACCACACACACTCTGTAATATATCACTGTCTCATTTTTGGGCTTTTAATTGCCTTTTAATTCAAGGTGCTGCCTCAAAAAGGTGGGAAATAATCTGATGACAAAATAATCAGATTATTTCTTATATTTCGTCTCTGTATTTCTTATATTTCATCTCAATATCACATTTTTGGGCTTTTAATTCCCTATTAATTCAAGGGTCTGACTGCCAAAGGTGGGAAATAATCTGCTATATCAATATCTCATTTTTGGGCTTTTAATTGCCTTTTAATTCAAGGTGCTGCCTGAAAAAGGTGGGAAATAATCTGATATATCAATATCTCATTTTTGGGCTTTTAATTCCCTTTTAACTCAAGGTGCTGCCTGAAAAAGTTAAAATCAAGGTTAAATATTATTTATTTAAATCAAGGTTAAATATTATTTTAAGGGAAATAATCTGATGACAAAATAATCAGATTATTTCTTATATTTCATCTCTGTATTTCTTATATTTCATCTCAATATCTCATTTTTGATCTTTTAATTCCTTTTTAATTCAAGATGCTGCCTGAAAAAGGTGGGAAATAATCTGATTATTCTGTGTTTCTTATATCTCATATCAATATCTCAGTTTTGGTCTTTTAATTCCCTATTAATTCAAGGGTCTGACTGCCAAAGGTGGGAAATAATCTGATACATCAATATCTCATTTTTGGGCTTTTAATTCCCTTTTAATTCAAGGTGCTGAATGCCAAAGGTGGGAAATAATCTGATATATCAATATCTCATTTTTGGTATTGTAATTCCCTATTAATTCAAGGTGCAGCCTGAAAAAGGTGGGAAATAATCTGATTACAGAATAATCCAATTACTCTGTATTTCTTATATTTCATCTCAATATCTCATTTTTGGTATTTTAATTCAAGGTGCTGAGTACCAAAGGTGGGAATAATCTGATTACAGAATAATCTGATTACTCTGTATTTCTTATATTTCATATCAATATCTCATTTTTGGTATTTCAATTCAAGGTGCTGAGTACCAAAGGTGGGAATAATCTGATTACAGAATAATCTGAGTACTCTGTATTTCTTATATTTCATCTCAATATATCATTTTTGGTCTTTTAATTCAAGGTGCTGAGTGTCAAAGGTGGGAAATAATCTGATATCTCATATCAATATCTCATTTTTGGTATTTTAATTCCCTTTTAATTCAAGGTGCTGAGTACCAAAAGTGGGAAATAATCTGATATCTCATATCAATATCTCATTTTTGGTATTTTAATTCCCTTTTAATTCAAGGTGTTTTCTGAAAAAGGTGGGAAATAATCTGATATCAGAATATCCTGATCTGGGAAAAGGAAAGGGAAAAGGAAAAGGAAAAATAGTAAAATCTTGTGACTGACCAGAGAGTCTGAGCCAGCTGACTGTGATTGGCCATTAATTAAAAACAACCCCGTGAGACCAATCACAGATTCACCTGTTGCAGATAATCATTGTTTACATTTCGTTTCTGAGGCCTCTCAGCTTCTCAGGAAAAAAGATCCTACCAAAAGAAAAATTCTCTGTTTCCATATTTTTCATACAATTTGTCCATGACAAAACCACCTCAGTCAAACCGGGCAGGAGGAGCTGCAGCTCTCAGAGCCTTTAACTCCCCCTGGAGATGGATTTGCTGTCACTCACATGAAGTTTTACCCCACTGCTTATTTTTCATACCCCC